AGAGTGTCTCGTCGGTCTCAACTGTGGCTCTGGCATCGCCGACTGTCCCCGAACGGCCTTCGACCTCGTCATCTACATCGAGCACACTCGCAGCAGCACTGTCACTCGGATCACTGAACTTTGCTTCTCACAATGTGAAATCCGCGAAGCTAGCTCTCACCCCTCATCATTTATTCTACTTGCTGTCACGCTTCGAAGAGCTTGGAATCCCCGTAGGCCCGATGAAGGTGCGCCTTGAGAACCTTCACGATACTACCACATCTGCCAATTATGTCTCTTTCCTGAGCACTTCCCAGCGCTCCAAGAGCAGAGGCTCAGATGTCGGATCCATTCGTTCTGTGTCCAGTATACGAAGTGTCATGTCAGGCATGTCAGCATTGTGGGCTAGTTTCGGAATCGGCTCCAGTATATCCGCTGCTCGTACCGAAAGACAGAAAGCCGCGCTCCAAGCTGATCTGAAGTACCTTTACTCTGCCTTTACCAAGATACCATGTCTCAAGCTTGCACCAGACTGGCGTGCACGTCTGATTCGAGGCTACGAGGAATTTCCCTTTGATTCCGCCGTTCCACTTTACGTTTTCAAAAATGTCCAGGCACTGGAAGTCAGTGACATAGATTTCCGGCAGTTTTTCGGCTGGGATCGCCTAGCTGACCAGCTAAGATCTCTGACTATCAAGCGTGCTTGTCTTGATGATCCTGCGGATGTCCTCATAGATATCGTCTTGGACGACATGGACAAAAGGAGAAGACGAACGTCCAAGTCTCAGGCATCTCCTACCATGCCCTGGGCTGCATCATCAAGCCCTAAACGCAGCCCAACTGTTCCGCATGCTGAACTACACAAGTCTGTCTCGGCCCCAAACTCTCCTGATGGCGTCCGAATGTCCTCAGAGCTGCAAGTGGGTTCTTTGAACAGCGATACAGTCGTGGAACAGGACGACATTAGTACTATAAGAGATAGCAGGCGGCCATCGATAGTGAGGGCCGATAGCGACGAGCCACCAAAATCGCCAGTGAAAGCCTCACGACCGAGAAGTCATTCTCCACGTCGCCCTTCCAGTTCTCGCAACGGCTCTTCTCATATCCGCAGTTCTTATAAAGTCCGACGCTCTGGATCAGGGAGCTCCCACTCCAGTTTATCCGATTCTTGGCACCAAACGCGGGGGAGTGCCTCGAATCTGCTCGCCATGGGTATTCTCCCAGCCTCCAAGTGGCGATTTCTAAAGCACCTCAGCCTTGCCGACAACTCCTTAACGTCCATACCTGCATCAAGCCTGGGACCTTTGTCAAATACTTTACATTCTCTGGACCTGTCTTCGAATCTATTTACGCAAATTCCTGATAGTCTGGCCACCCTGACAGCTCTACGAGCTCTGAATCTTTCACATTGCATGATAGACTCACTGCACTCCTTAACCCGAAACCCCCTTCCCGCCATCACTGCCCTAAACCTTAGGGCAAATCGTCTGCAGTCGATTGCTGGTATCGAAAAGCTATATCCTCTGGAGCGTCTTGATTTGCGTGACAATCGCCTGACTGATCCTATGGAGCTTGCACGATTGACAGGAATCCCCGAGATACGCGAAATCTGGGTGGATGGAAATCCTTTCACCAGGACCCACCGCGATTACCGGGTCACTATTTTCAATCTCTTCAGAAAGTCCCCAGGCTATACTGAGGACATATTGATTGATGCGACTGGCCCGGGTTACACCGAGAAGAGGTACCTCGTTGAACGTGCGGCCGAACCGCCTGCTGTGCCCGTTGTCAAACCGCCAGTTGCAGAGATGCCTGCTGTAGATGTCAGCAAACCTGCAATTGTGTACGGCGCACCAAAGGAGCCCGCCGTACTCCGGAAAGAGCGACCTTTGCCAAAAGCAACAGCGAGCGAAGTGAACACAAGCTCCACGCGTCGCCGTCGAGCGCCAAAAAGGCGCATCGTTGATCTTGCTACCAATGACGCCATGAACCACCAAGCTCGTGAAAGTCAGAATGTGAATCTTGGCAACGATAGCCACTACCGTATTTCGAGTCCACCAGAGATACATCAAGTCACACCACCAGCGCTGGCAGACAGCCCCATGCCGATGATGGAAGGATCTCCAGATGTCCCTCGCATAGACTCGTCTGAATTCCCGCAGCTTCCCCCTCTTTATTCGTCACACGAGACGCAAACACAGTGGAAGGAGTCCCAGGATTGGGATGTGGGGGGTGAGATGTATCGCCGCAAAATTGAGGCCCTCAGGGACAAAGTCGGCAACGGCTACCTCAGTGTACTCAGTGAGGAAGCTTGGGATACCTCTCGCGCGCCCACTCATTACCAGGACAGTCCTTTCAGCAGTCCTACTTCACCCATACACACCAACCCCACCTCACCTCGAGCAGCAAGTGTACAAGCTATCCATAGCGGGCGTACACTTGGTTAGATACCCGGAGCCGATCGGTTATTTGCAACACATCTCATCATACCCATTCATATACATGTTGGTTGTTTTATGGTTTTTTCATTACGGATGATATCATAGGAGCATAGCGTCCCGGCGTTCTTGGTCTTTGGAATGAACATGTTATTTCCATCTTCTTTCCCGCAAAGCATATTTTACTATTTTTCTTCTGTTCTTCGAGATATCCTCCGCTTTGAAATGTTTGCGGTGTTGTCGAGAGAGCCCTGCTCATCATTTCAGTCGAGTCATCCAGTGGCGGTGTACTTGCAAGCAGAGCTTGGCTGTGCACCACGGATTTCGAGTTTTCCACTGCCAAGCGACTTCATGCAGGATCCGGTCGACCCATGTATAAAACATTACCATTCTCTTTCGTGGAGTCGAAGACAAAAGGGGGGACCTGAAGAGGCGCAGCTTCTTTTTCTCAGAACTCTCATGTCGGTTAATTACATTGGTGGCTGGATAGGCGGCGGCGTCACGGAATCTCAACATGGCGGCCAGAAGGGGCTGGACTTTTTTACTTCTCTCTCATACATTCTGTTTGGCATTTTTGTGGCATGAAAATGCATTGATCTATCTCTCCCGTTTTGCTGCATTTCCACCGGGGTTGAATAGCTGTGTAGAGTGTTTGTGTTTCTCCTATCATAAGATACACCCTGGAGGTTGCGGAGTTGATATTCCGTGAATTGACGGCATATTATATTGTTCAGCTCAATTGCGTTTCGTCTTCTGATATTCTTGCCAAGTGTGATGCTCGTGTGCTTAGTAGCAACTTGTCTACATATGCCATAATAACGTGTAGCGATCATGACTTATGACATTGTATGTTGATATGTTGTTTATACAGTAGGTAAATACTCAACAATCTCATGGTATTTCGGGGCTTTCCAGGACCTTGCTTTCTCGAGCCATCGTTTCTCAATCGGAGCTCCCGGAGTAGTAGGCATTTGAACAAGGCAACTATGCATTGCTTGCCTAGTCTGTTGATTATACCCAAGTGAAGCTTTACACCACGATAGCGACCTAGGTGTTGCCAGATAGGAATTGAGTGTCGCTGTGCACCACCAAAACTCAAATTGCACGACATAGTATGAAATCCATCCGATAGTCTATTTCAACTTCGCCGAAGCGGATAGGCAGTGACCGCGAAAGATAATTGCTGATGCCTCATGGAACAGCAGAGTAGAGTCCAGTAAGCAAGTCTGGATTGACTCACAGGCCATGTGTCCCAGTGGTGTGGTGACGGCGGTGTAGAAATATGACAGTTCCTATTGAGCTATGTAGGCAGTGTGCGTCCAAGGATGACGTGCAGACTGATCCCAGGGGCTGGGACCCCTGGCCGAAGCCAATGAGGCGAGCGCAATTTACGATTCTACAGGAGATCAGTGAAGGGCAAACACCCAAGTGATCAAGCCACCCGGGGCCGTGGGCCGGGCATCAGGCCCTTGCCATGTGGCAGCTCGAATTGGCGCCAATCGACTCGGTTAAGGTACGACCCCTGGCCAATGCAAGATCCATCCGAAGGACAATCCGGGGTAATGGTACCTAATGAGTGTGTCTTTGGCGCCGCCCAGGTGTGGTTTTGGCTTTTCGGTATGCTCTGATTGACTGCGCGATTCCTTGCGGTTTTTTTCAAACACTTGCGCCTGCCTCAGTCCTACATCCCCCACCAGCAGAGTGGTATTCAGAATTGGAAGATAATAATCGCGCTGATAAATAAGACGTATCGAATGAAATTTTGGCTTGATAATTGCAATAATTGGTAGTCCCAATCATATCAAACGTCTAGCTATCCATAATGAGATTGCGAAATTTGCCTTGTAGTTCCCCAGAGCAATACAACTGTCTAAATCATGCGGTCTAAATTGCTCGGAGGATTGCGGGGACCGTCACCGGATCACCATAAGTGCAAGGTGAGCATAAGATTCGAGTTCTCGAGTTTCGAACCATTTGAATAAACGGAGGGAACAAGATTTCAGTTCTGAAGTATTGATATTGAGACTTTCTGGGGAGGTGTAGCTGCATTGCTCTGGGCTTGAGCTTGATATTGAAGCTTTACGATCGCGACAAATCGAGGGGCATTGAGGCTAGTTTACGTAATCACGGCGCGGGAGCCAGGTGAATTGGCGCGCTATCTACAGTCGCAGTGGGGTTCCCCTTTCCAAAACGGGCTTAGCCTGGCACCTGTGCTTCAACGTCCACCGCGTCCTGTCACCTCTGGCCTGTTTTTCGACCGATCTGCTACTCCTCACGTCGTCACCTTCACCCCCTCAACCAGTCACGCGCTTCAGAAAATCTCGCGGTCCGCTTCTGGCCTGGGATATCTTGCGTTTGGGGTGTTGAAACACGTCGTTTTCAATGCCTCTCCTGCGGTGCTGAGCCTCTTGGAGTGACCCCTCGCCACCCTGACAACGACGCGCTGACTGCGATATCTCAAGCGCAAAAGACTGCTCTCATCTGTCGCCGATCGTATCAGTTGCTCGCGGGGAATCCATGGCACATAGGCCAACAACTCCTCGGCGAGCTACAATAGGACGACGGCGCGGACGACCGCCAAAGATGTTTGCGGCCTCAGAGCCTCCCCACAAGAAGAGAAAATACGTGCCAGGCGGACCCGGCGGTGGTGGCAGATTCATTGACGACGAGGACAACGACAGCTTTGGTCAAATTTCTGCTGCAGTTAGCGCGCCAAGACCGCGTACGACCACCCAGATTACATCACCTATCATGCCGAGACGAGAGCGTAGTTCGCGGATCCGCACGGCGGCGAACCGCAGTGAGCCAGATGAGATGGAGTTTAGCTCGGCTGCTGCAGTAGCTGCAGCTGTTGTGCAAAGCGAAGGATACAAACCGAGAGAAGAACGTGGATGGGAAGAGTTTCACCCTAATCTTGACATCGAGGCCACTTTCATGATCTTTCACTCTGAAGACGTGGATGGCATCGCGAAGTCGACACCCCCGACTCCGAGTAGACACACACGAAGCACACCGATGAACGGCGTGAGCACCCCATCCAAAGATGCCGCGTCGGGAAGTGTGGTTAATACCCCGAATGGTCTCAGCAATGCTGGAGATTCTCAAAGCATGATCTTGGATACCACCCCCCGACGGCGCGTTGGTCGTCCGCCCAGGGAATCCGCTTCGCTATATGCCATTCGCCCCCCTGAGATCATTGCGACACCTAGGACACCCAAAGTACTACCAATTCATAATCAGACGCCGAAGGAGCGGCTTGACTTGAAGCAGCCATCGTATCGAAAGACTGATCGTATTCTGCTCTTCGAGAGCAAGACGTTTGGTCAGGCGCGTTATGTCGAGAAGGCCATGATGAACGTGGGCTATCAAGAGAGTGACAACTTCATCCGGCCGGAGCGTAAGCTTATCAAAGCGAGCGACTCCAATCTCGACGAAGATCTCGAGCAGCTAGCAGGTGCCAAAGCAGATGGTGATGGTTCGCAGCCTGGCGCGTCAAGCCTTGGACGAGTCGAGTATGACATGGACGAGCAAGATGACGTTTGGCTGGAGTCATACAACACTCAGCGCAAAGCTAATGACTTGGAACCTATAACTCGAGAGATATTTGAAATCACCATCACTAAGATCGAGAAGGAGTGGCACGCGCTAGAGAAAAGGATACCCAAACCAAATCCTAAGCCGCCACAGACCCATCGACCGAGATCAAGCTCTGCAGCTGCTGTCAACGGCGAGACGCAAGTTGGCGAGGAGCAGGACAGCAAGTGCGCGATCTGCGACGATGGCGACTGCGAAAATACTAATGCGATCGTGTTCTGCGATGGTTGTGATTTAGCGGTCCATCAAGAGTGTTATGGTGTGCCATTTATTCCTGAAGGACAGTGGATGTGTCGGAAATGCCAACTGGCCGGCCGCGGGATACCCGTAAGTTCTGAACTTTTCGTCGCCTCACCTAGATAGCACGTTAACATCTCGACTGCAGACCTGTATATTCTGTCCAAATACCGATGGTGCTTTCAAGCAGACGAACTCGTCGAAATGGGCCCATCTGCTTTGCGCCATGTGGATTCCAGAAATATCCCTCGGTAACCATACATTCATGGAGCCTGTGATGGATGTTGAAAAGGTTCCTAAAAATAGGTGGAAACTTACGTGCTACATATGCAACCAGCGCATGGGTGCCTGCATACAGTGTGGTAACAAGTCCTGCTACCAGGCATTCCACGTTACATGCGCACGGAGGGCACATCTGTACCTGAAGATGAAGAACAGCCAAGGCGCGCTCGCAGTCTTGGATGGAAGCATGGTCTTGAAAGCTTTCTGCGATAGACACTGCCCGCCGGATTATACAAAGGAGAACTCCGTCTCTCAAGCGACTAGGGAAGCTAAGCGCTTCTACAAGAAAACTATGAAAGGTCGGATCTGGGCTACCAGCCAAGCCTCTGCCCAACAAATAGCCGCAACGCACCGTCACGCCATAACTGAGCACCCACCAGATGAATCACAGATGATCGGGGCCAAATTGAACGGCGGCCCCGGTGACAAAAATAAGGGACAGGGAGGCAAAGTCTGGAAGCTGCCATCCGGGGCCCCAGTTATACCGCAAGCTGTTTTTGATCTCGTCGAATACGGCCTACAACGGTTCACACTACGCAAGCGCAAAGAATTTGTTGGCGAGGCTTGTCGTTACTGGACACTGAAGCGTGAAGCCCGTCGCGGTGCCGCACTGCTCAAACGCTTGCAACTCCAGATGGAGACATTCTCGTCGATGGAGCTTACTCGCCGCAACTTCGTCGCTATGGGACCATCTGGCAAGGCTCGCCTCCAGAGAAGAATTGAATTCGCCGAGACACTCATGAAAGACCTTGAACAACTGAAACACCTCTCTGAAGACATTGTTAAGCGAGAGGTTGATAAACTTGAGCAGGCTGAAATGGAACAAGATTTCGTCGACACCACATATTTCCCTGTTTACAAGCTGTTTCTACCGGTCATTGAGAAAGCTCAGCTGTAAGTCCCAACTTTTCACTGACCTTATTTTTGCCACTAACACCCATGTAGACTTGACAAGAATGTCTTTCAAGACGGTCTTGCAAAGATGCAGACTCAGCTCGACGCACGATTTTATACGACCACCCTTGCCTTCGCCCATGATCTTTGTGAGGTCATAAATGTTGGCATCAACGGTCCTTCTAGGTCAGCTGCAGCCCGATCAATAGACGCATCGCCTACCAAGCATAGCACGTATTCAGAAGCCAGAGATCGTAAGAGGCTTGGGAAACGCATACTGAAGGCAGTGCAACAACAATTAGAGTCGGCCTTACGCGCCGAGGCCGACATCACCTCGAAACCTCTCGACACCCTCCTTAAAGAGCTTGATGGCATGATAGAAGCGAGCCTGGAGCTACGACAACTATCTTCCCTTGCTTCTCATGGAGAGGTCGCCGCTGAAGCGAGTCAGGATGTCATTATGGTCGATGCCCCAAGCGATCACCAAATTACAGTTGCCGATGGGGTGAATGGGGAAGATAAAGACGATTCAGGAGACCCAATGGACGTAGAAGAGGATGCAGCTAGTAAAACCGACAATATCAAGGTCAAGACAGCAAGCCCCCAGAAGGGTGCTAAAGTCAACGGCACAACACCTTCCGGGGATCTTGAGGCCGATGGAGCAGTACAGAAGCCAGATATGCCGGTGACGAACGGAGTGGATGCTGCAGATACTCCGCCGGGAACGAACGGCTATGTACCGGTCTCGAATCCTACGCAAGCAGGCCCTCTTACACCTCCCCAGTCCAATGGCAGTCTGGGCAGAGGACCAACAGATACCCTGACGGAAGGCGGCATCCCATGGTATCTCAAACCATTTGACATTGAAGGCACCACTGCGGTCGAGGAGCAGTGGGCTGGCCGTGATGCCTTACGAGCTCTCAGCGAAGAGCTTACGGATATGGACGATGACGAGCTGAATGACCTTGAGTTTAACGTCGAGGACAGCACGATCACCGCATCCCCCATCAATGCAGTGTCAGAGTCAGCGCCGTCCTCTTCCTCCAAGAAGAAGGGCAGCGCCAACAAGGTTACTAAGCGGTTGAGGCAGTCAACCAGGAGACGATGATTTGGGCAGCAAGATACCCCACCAAATGTATGAATAGGTAGCATTGTTTGATTTCGTTTTTGGCTTCTCGGTTTTTTTTTTCTCCCTCTCTCTTTCACTTGTCCTTGTCCTTGCTGCCCAGGCGATAGAAGCCCCTTGTTTCTTTCCATCGCCCAAGCCTAGCCTGGCAACTGCTAGCTTGACGGTCAACACCTGTCTCAACCCTAGGCCCTGCACCCCGGCGTTTAGACAGGATCTTTTTTTGCTTGTTCCATCTGTTTTCTCTCTGGCACTCTGAGTCTACTACAACATCAAGATGACACGGTTCACTGGCGTTCAAAGGGCAGACACGTAATCCAAGGGGGGAGGGAGAGATTCCGATGCGATGAGAGAGCTGCCCAGGGCAGTGTCTCCTGCGCGAATACTGTATCTAATCCAACCCAAGTACTCTAAATGTGTGCAAATAGGCCATATACACAATTTTGAAACGTTTTACAACAATTCTCAGCCTTAGCCCAGTGTGTCTGCCTCTCCCTCTAAGAGTAGCGTGAGCCATGCCATGGTATCCAGACTTCTTTGAGTCTTCCACCTAGTGATATCATTGTGGACGTGATCGCCAGGAGCTATTACTCAAGTCTCTATTGGAGAAAAGCGTCATGCGTACCCGGCTGTCAAAAGGGGGTCCAAACGGCTAGATAGCCGCATGGGCACCTTTTGGTGATATCTTTGACGTTTTAAAACTTACTTAGGCATGTCATCAATGGTAAAGAACGCCAATGAAGTCAGGCAACCAATTGAGCCAACGCTATACGGCGTGGAAAATTACTTGACAAGAATGCTCCAATTGAGTTGTGGCCTCCTATGAGAGACAGTAGCTCAAGGTCACAATATTTCTAACAGGTGAGGAAAGTGCCAATTTAGGGGGACGACGAATCAGACGTCAGCGAAGATCTGAGATCTCGCGTGAGGAGGAAGGTTATTGCAGATTCTCGAGATGTGACAAAAACGGATCTCCTTAGCCCTTCGAGACTGGGTATTTTGAGTTGATTGGAGCGATCGCGCCAGGCCCATGGTGGGTTTAAAGGGGAATTACGAACGGGCGATGATATCAGGTGATAGCCGCGGGCGGGCGTGTCAATCGGATCGCCAGCGTGCCCCTCCAGCGATGCTGTCATGGTGCCCCAGCGAACGCGGGGCAGAGTGGGAATGGGTCCCAATGGGTTGACGTCTCCCTCTCCAATCTTTTTGAGGCTTGGATGATTGGGGACAGGGATTGCAGCTCGTTCGTTTTGGGATGTTGCGTACACCCAGATCTACACAGAACGGGTATAGATTATTGCCCAGAATAAGAAATCAACTCACCGGAAAATTCTAGAACACGCTTTGGCGGTGTCTGCCAGGGTAAACGGTTCTTCTGACTTTAAGATTGGTAAGGGGTAATACCTCCCTTTCGATGTAGAAAGGTGAATGCAGATGAGTGACGAATGGGAGAGATTCTCAAGCCCAGGCCCCCTTTGACTGTAGTGTATAGGAGTATGTGTGTACTGTTTGTATGCGTAGTATGTGTAGCATGTTAGGAAGCGGTGGAGGAGGTGCTGCAGCTGCAGCAGCTTAGGCCAATCAGGCCAGCGAAGGCTTGGAATGCCTCCGACTCCTCCTTTCTTTCCTTGTCGATGCTGTTGCAGGACTGCTGCTATGCAGTCGTAGAGGTGTGGAGGGGCAGCGAATTGCAATTGTGGCGGCGAAGCTTGTTGGGTAGGCCGGCGCCAAGCGGGCTGCCAGGACGCGGCGTGAATGGTTGGTTGGTATGGGAAGAGCGGGATCCTCGAGACATAGGTACTCTTGGTCCTTTCTCTAGGCGTGATCTTCGTGTCCTGAGAGGAGATGCGCGATCTAGGAGAGAAATAGCGTGGAAGCAATCCTGAGCATGTTTTGTGAGGGCCATGGTTCTGGACCCTTTCGTCTATTCCCCCTCTCACCCGGGTGTCCGTCGCCGTAGACCCCGGCGGCCCTAGATCTAGCGTGACGTGAGGAACAAGACCAAAAACTCAAGGAACTGCCGTGCTGTGGCCCGCCGGCCGTACAATTGCAAAAGTCGAGCTGAGTCGACCAGTATCGTCTCATAGCTCGGGCCTCGGAAGCAGAGGCCTGGGCGGGCGGCGCTCACAGGGCTGGATGCACTACCTCCCTACCACCTTACTCAAAGGAGGTGTGGAGAGGTGAGATGAGATGGTGCTATGGAGAGCTGCCGGGGTCTGTCTGTTAGTCGGTAGTGCTCGGTGGCATCCGGTTGGGCAGAGAGGAATGCTTGTCGCTCGTCTCGAGATGGCTGACTGAGAGACTATTGCGAACTTGCAAATTTCTCATGTTGGTGGGGTTTGTATCTCTGATGGAAGTTCTAGAGACCTTTTCACAGAATTGAAATAGTCTCACCTGTCGCGGAGTTTCCGTGCTAGGGTAGACTCATCGACGACCATCAAGAGGTATTAGTAATGTAGGCCTCAATGTGTCAACTCTACCAGATGTTCGGTGGCAGAGCAGCGTTCGTGTTGCTGAGGTGGAGAGCAGATGGCCTGATGGATGGTGTCGTCGTCGTCGTCTCCCCCCTGACGTTAAAAGGCGAAACCACACCTAACCTTACCCAACCCGATTGCCGATTTATGTCCAGAAGCTGTAGGGTCAAGTGAGAAAAGTGACAAGCCCGCGTATTGCAACTGTCACATCCCTGTGTAGGACCCTCTTGCTGCTATTATTGTTAGACGCCCGCTTAATTGCGTCGTCTCAAGGTGAGTAGCAAGTCGGAAACGGCAACAGCAATGGGACCCTGCAAGGAAAGAGCAGCCAGTCGCGACTCGAGGTGGCTGCCATTCGAGAAACGCGAATTGGGGGCGCTTTAAAAAGGCAAGCACTTCACTTGACTGTACATGCACCACTGCCACAGCCCATTCAAGCCGCGGGGAAGCTGGGAAAGGGTGAATCAAAGGGAACGGAAAGGGAGACACACGCACTTGCGTTTTGCTCATCAAAAAAGCCCTGCGTCAACGTTAGCAGATGAGACTCTCAGGAAAAGGTCTGGACGCGTAGGGGGGCGGCTTAGCAAAGTTTAGGCTGTTAAGGCACGTCCACCCACGCGCCATACCCAAGATGCCTAGGTACCCTAGGCCTGTTAGGTGCAGTACCGTACCGTACAGTACAGTCCCAGAGGTTCCTCAGGTAGGTACCTCAGGTAGGTAGGCAGGTAGGGGGAGGGTCTGACCTTTCCACCCATTGGGACACCCGGGCTTTCACATCAGCCATACCTACCTTACCTGCCAGCCTACCCCCTCCCGCTGCGCTGCCGATGGTCGCCCTCCTCCCTTTTTGACCCTGCGAAACACCACCAAGGCGACTAGCACCTCGATTTTTTCTGACGTCCTTGTCCTGACCGACAACAACTCTCTCCTCCTCCTCCCTGACCAATCCACCCCCCCAAAACGGCGACATCGATTTTCACATCACCTCCAGGTGCCCAGCGACGCAGTTAGTCTGCCTTTTATCCTCCCAGTGATTGAGCCTAGTCTCTGTCAGAAAATCTGCATCATCAAACACTCCATCCGTCCGCCGCTCAGTCGTGACGGTGTAGCAAGCAAAAAAAGCGATCGATCGTTGGGAACAAAACCCACACAGCAAGGCGCGGCTGCCTGGGTTTTCTCGACCACAAACCACCACGCCCCAAACTCTCTTCAGCCTTTCTCTAGGCTTTGCGAGATTCATATCTTGCTGGCGACGAGCTGTCTAATATCGACAGCCCCCTTTTGACGAACGTCGATTAAATTTTCGACTCGACGCGGCCCCATCCAAAACAAAACTCCTGTGGCTTAGCGATTCACGTCACAGCCCTCGACCCCCGCCCGCTGCTGCTGCTGCCGCTGCTGCTTGAAGCTATCAACAACGACCTTGGTGGCCAACAAAGCAGCCAGTTCCCATACGAAAGTGACAAATCTCACGGTAGAACCTGCTAGATACTGTGCAGAGGTACCACGACGACAGCAGCTTTCTTTCTCGGAAAGCCACCCACAGCTGGGATCACTTCTGATTGTATGTGACTTCCAATTCTTGCAACACCCCATCTGCCCCTCCCCTCGCCAACACTCGGCATCACTTCAACCTTCATCTTTCGATCAAAAGTGTTTTCTAAGCATCAGAGGATCTAATTGCAGTTTTGTGTTCATAGTTTCCAGAGGTGCATCAATCTCGCAATAACCGACAATTAGCTGATCTCGCCCACACGTCCTTTGGCCTGATCGCCCTCAACCGGCCTTTCCGCCGCACCCTCCCTCTCCTGCACACCTTCCCCCCTCCGGGTGCAGACACATACACACAATGGCGGACCAACACGAAGTTGATCTGGACTCCATAATCGACCGCCTCCTTGAGGTCCGTGGCAGCCGCCCAGGCAAGCAGGTCCAGCTGCTGGAGGCTGAGATCCGTTATCTCTGCACTAAGGCTCGCGAGATTTTCATTTCTCAGCCCATCCTCCTCGAGTTGGAGGCCCCTATTAAGGTATGCTTGCAATCCCCAGTACTTGATTACTCCTAGCACCGTTTTCGATTTTCCTACGAACCATGGCTGATCCTGTCCTTTCCCCAGATCTGCGGAGATATCCACGGTCAATACTATGACCTTCTGCGTCTATTTGAGTACGGTGGCTTCCCTCCCGAGGCCAACTATCTCTTCCTTGGCGACTACGTAGATCGAGGAAAGCAATCGCTCGAGACCATCTGCCTTCTCCTGGCCTATAAGATCAAGTACCCCGAGAACTTTTTTATCCTCCGTGGCAACCATGAGTGCGCCTCCATCAACCGAATCTACGGTTTCTACGATGAGTGCAAGCGTCGCTATAACATCAAGCTGTGGAAGACTTTCACCGACTGCTTCAACTGCCTCCCTATCGCTGCTATCATCGACGAGAAGATCTTCACTATGCATGGCGGTTTGAGCCCCGATCTCAATTCTATGGAGCAGATCCGTCGCGTCATGCGCCCCACAGATGTACGTACCCTCACTTTTCCTCGGGGTTCCATCTTCCAGCAAAGCCCTGAGCTACCAGACATATGCTGACTATGGCCTATAGATTCCTGACTGCGGTCTGCTTTGCGACCTGTTGTGGTCAGACCCGGACAAGGATATCACCGGTTGGAGCGAGAACGATCGTGGTGTCTCTTTCACATTCGGCCCCGATGTGGTATCTCGATTCTTGCAGAAACACGACATGGACCTTATCTGCCGTGCTCATCAGGTTGTTGAGGACGGCTACGAGTTCTTCTCGAAGCGTCAACTCGTCACTCTGTTCAGCGCTCCGAACTACTGTGGAGAGTTCGACAATGCGGGTGCCATGATGAGTGTGGATGAGAGTCTCCTCTGTTCATTCCAGGTAAGATTTGCAAGCGTCTGTCTACGAGATACGTACTTGATTGCTAACTCGAAACCTTTAGATTCTCAAGCCCGCTGAGAAGAAGCAAAAGTACGTCCATGGCCTCGGAGGCAGTAGACCCGTCACTCCTCCCAGGAAGCAGTCCAAAACCTAAGTTAGAATTTATGCGAACTCTTTGTCTTGTTCTAGGTTCGGACGCCGATAATCTTCTCAAACCGCAACACCTCGAGGTCTCTCGCGAATCCTCAACGACCGCCACTTCGATCCGCATGCCCAAGGCCTACCGCCTCCTCCTTTTCCGCCTCGTCTGACACTCGTCAGTCTCGATATCATGACCTGCGACCCCGGTTGACCTTACGATGCCTGCTTCTTCCCGACGAACCCTCTCGAAAACCTCGAAAACCCTGTCCTGGCTTGTCGCTGAGGGAGTCAATTTTTGATCCGATGCCTTACCCCAACCATTATTGATGGGGCTATAAATAATACACGCGTGTTGCTTGCTCTCTGGAGTGGCCAACTTCGCTGATGCACGTCGAGACTCAAAAGTGATTCGCGACCCGCACTCTTGTTTGGCAATTGTACACTCTTTTTTTCTTTCTACACGATCAAGCATGAGAGGTTATCGGCTCTCTCCTCCCACTAATATGCCACCGGCACCTTTAGCTTCACCTGCACCCATGATCACGACGTACGAAGTCATGTCTCGTGGGATCAGAGCATTGCACGGACGGAGGAAATGGCTGGATGAAAGACGAATTCTGTTTTGGACCCATCTTACAGATACCCTCGTCTATTGCATGTTCTGCATCGTCATTGGTCTGTACAATTCCATAGGGTCGCATCAAGAAGCATGGTAGCCCCCAGGGCTTTGACTGGATCATGCCTTGTAAGGTCTGGCTGGTAGAGCGCTTGGATGTCTGGAAGCGAGGGACACTCAACATTGCTTAGGGGGTGGATCGGTCCGGTGGTTGACCGGATGAGGATTTCCTTAACTCGATGATTATCTCTGAGTCATGTTACATGCTTTTCTGCGATTCCTTCGTACTTTGTCTTATGTGGTTGATGCTCCAGGAGGCCGCGGGCCTGGCCTGGTCTTTGCTTTTCCTTTCCACCGAAGATCTGCAGGGGGTTCATAGCAGATCTCGGGCTTGAAGCAGCTTACTTGGTCACTGAGGGCTTCACGGGGGCATGTGTTCGAGTATATGACTGGAGGATAGGTGACGTTGGGAAGGGGATGGACGGCCTTGTCACAACCCTTCAATCATCCGCGATGAATACAATGACGTATGGTACACATAAAAATCAATTGAAACTGCGCCACCACTTCAGTCTGGTTAGATCATGTTGTGAATGCCATGTGATGCCTCGCATTACGTGATTTCTCGCACGGTAACCTGTAGTGTTGTAGCCATTAGGCTCATACATAAAGCTTCTCTCAGTCCCTGAGATTAGGGGAAGCTTCTTAAGATGAAAATATGTCTTCTATGAGCAGTCCTCGCACACCTCCTTCTTCTCCTCGCCCTGCTCTCCTGCCTTAGCATTCTGCTCCTGAGATGCCGACGCGTCGTCCGATCCCAGATAACCACCGCCAGCATGGCCCTCAGCTTCGAGCCGCGCCCGCTCCTTTGCGGCAAGTTTCTGCCGCACAATGTTGTTGGCCACCTCGGGCGGCTCCTTCACCAGCGGCCGCACGCCGCCAACACCGCCGCCGGGGTTGACGCGCTGGATGGGGTTGCCGCCCCATTGCGAGTGCAGCGGCGGCGGGCGCGGCTGCGAGCGCTCGATGGCGTCCTTGAGGAGGTCGCCTGGGCGGGGGCGGTGGTGGTGGTGCTGCTGCTGCTGCTGCTCCGTCCTCTCCTCCTCTGGCTTCTCGTCACCCCCTGCTGCCGATGCCGATGCGCCTGAGGCGGACGCCAGTGCCGAGTCCGGGGCTGGGGCGTCTGAGCCGCCGGCCTTTGCGCCGTGGTCCCGATCCACGTGGCCGAGGTCGCGGCCGGGCTCGATGACGTCCCGCACGCGGCGCTTCAGCTCCTTGGTCTCGGGGAAGCCGCCGTCCGTCTGGCGGTCCCACAGGACCTTCTGCTGCGTGGACGGCTGCCCGTCGCCGTCGGCCATGGCGGAGACGATCTCTACCACGAACACGCCGCCTGTTGCGGGCTGCAGGGCCACCTCGCCGAGGGAGGTGGAAAAGGTGGACAGGAGCTCTTGCGCGAACTGGGGCGAGGGGTTAGCATGGCTGTCTTCACTATGGCTGGGTGTCGGCCATGTTGGATGTTCTCTAGATGTAGAACAGTAGCATAGGAACTGGTATGGCGGTTTGGGAGTGCGAGTGGGAGTGTTGAAAGTGACGTATGCGGGGGACCAGGTCAGGTCCAACTTACATATGCGGCTCTCAGCATCCACTTGCACTGCGTACAGAACTTGATAGTCACCCTGGGAAGAGGGAAGGGAGATGTTGTTACGGTACTGTCTGTCATGTCTGAGGAGGGGGGCCAGGGCCGTATAAATAAATACAAGGAACAGGCCGGACTGTTTCTTGGAGAAAAGCTGAATCCAACTTCTTCCAGAGGTATGCTCAATGTTGCGTAATTGGCGTTGGGCTGTGACCTGACTGGTAGTGTAGTGCAGCTAAGCTTAATGAAAAGAGCCAAGGCGCGCCCGCCCAGCTGGGTCGGCAACTGGGCTGAATTTAGAACCTGCAGAACGCCTAACGACTGGCCAGATGGAGCTGCTGGGAGGCGCTTCTACTCCTCCGCTAGGGCAATAAATGTCGAGAACTCAAGGGCAAAGAAGCTGAATGATAAGAGCCGTGAGACTCATTGGGACTCGGAGATTCTGTCTTGCTATATGTCCATCAACTAAAGTTATTTAAAGGCAGTAATCTCTTGTTCAATGAAAATGATTCCATCCCTTGGAGGAGTAGATGGCCCAATCGAGAGGCCTAGTGCGTCCTGTACGGTAGTCGATTCAGCGAATGAGCAGTGATCGTCTGCACCTTGGAGAATATGTATATATCTGTGCTTTTCAGCTTCACTTTGACTGCTTATACGGAGATCGCAAGAATTATGCTCAGAACGGGAGATGTGGTTCTATGTAGAGAGCTTCAATCACGAGCAGGACCTCGCCATCAGTCCTGATTTGGGTGCAGAGCCAGCGAAGCTTCCGTCTTCTGGACTAAGGCCACTTGTGCGCCTGACGGATAGCAACGTAGCTGTACAACAACAGGTCTGACAATTGGTGAATGCTATCAAACATTGTACTAGTCCGATTCTGATCCCGTAAATCTCACGTTGAAGACGAGGCCGGCTTCCATATCTCTTCAAGATCAAGGGCAGGTTCAGAGGACATTGCGTTCGTACAGAATATATTCACAGGTGAAGCGGCTAGGGTCGAGAAACTACATGAAAAAGGAAACGTAGAAACCAAAGTATTACATGCTGAAGAGCTTCTCTGCTGTTCCGCGTTCCCCTAACAGCGAGAAAAGTGTATGAAAAGACCATTATCGTTACCGCCGTTCACTTAAGAGAAGCGACCCTCGCCTCGAGGGCAGGTCAAAACGGCGGCCTGTGTGTGGTATCGGTATAGCGGTCGTCTCTGATCGTTTCCACAGTTTCTTGCCTCCCCCTTCACGACCTAGGCCACACAGCAGCCACTGCTCTCAAAAAGAGATGCCCTTTTTCGTTTTGCAGCAACGCCGAAAGTCAAGAGAAACCCGACCATCCGTAGACAGCTTCGACAGATTGCCGGCTGGGTCTTCTCTACGGTCTGCATTCATCGTAGCGATAGCCTTACATAACCACACAGCAGCCGCCGCTCTGTTGGGGAGCGTACGGATCCTCACCCTTGGGAACGACTCCCCACACCGAAGGGACCATGTAATCTCGAGTGCTGTTGCAGTAGGCAATGATGCTAGAAAACATCCTCTGTCAGTTCACTGTACCCAAGAAATAGCTTATTAGATGTGGTCCGTGAGCACTCACCTCTTGCTGGCCTGGCTGACGGGAATTCGTTCCCTCTCGAGATCCTCGCGCAGTCGGCTGTTGAGCTCTGTCAATCGACGCAGCTTCAGATCTGCCATGCTCTGCTTGTTCTTCTTGATTTGCGACGGGTCGCCGACGTCTCGGCTTGTGTACTGAGGCATTTTGGGCGCCAGGTTGGAGGATGTGGTAGAGGAATGATCGTGGCTGCTGATTCGCGCGGGTGGGAGAGGTGAAGGAGAGGCTGCGGCGGATGGTGAGATCGCTGGCGGGTGGGAGCTTTGGGGTTGCTGCTCGGGAAGCGGTGGTGAAGATGAGGATGATTGAAGTGCCGCCTCGTGGTCCTGCTCCTGCAATGACATTGTCCTCGTGTCAGTCCCGTGACAACCTAATTGATGGGGGTGCCCTTGTGTCTTCCCGTCCCTGGGTGTCGACTGTCACGTCGCCCGCTTTGTTGCAGAGACGGGACGAAAACGTTCCGACAAGCTTTTCGTCCCGACCGGGCATATCGCACCCGACGGACGTTGGCAGGAACCAAGAAAAGATCAAGAAGGAGAGGTCGACGACTTACAAGTGAGGCTTAGCAATTGCCCAGATTGGCAACGACGGGCGAAAGAAGGCGCGATCGATGAATTGGAATGTACCGAATTGAAGGAGGGAGTGGAATGGGCTGGAATGGATGAACGGCACGAATGCACGCACACAAGAGAATTGAGGCTGCTCTGTGGTGTTGTGTGGTGTGGTGGTGTGCGGGAAGGGAGGCTAGGGAGGCAGGAAGATAGACAGACAGGTAGGCTCGTAGGCTCACAGGCACAGGGACAGGCACACTTGGCTGCACCGTACTCACTGAACAGTCTCCTGGGTGGTCTTTCTCTCTCCTGTTCGGAGTCGGATTGGGGGTGGGGAGGCCAAAAGCAAGCGGAATTGGAGAGGAAGGAGGTTCATTGGCCAGGCAAGGGCCGTAAAATTGGGCTCGACAGTAGCGAGGGGGACGCTCGGGCCCACAACGCGATCCTGCCATTCTTTGGGGACGCTGGAAATGAGTGCCTCCTTATTACTGCCTTCTTACTACTATACTAGGGAAGTAGTTAGGTAACATACAGAAATCCCCTTGAAAACGCTCCCCGTTCTTGCGTCCAGTAACTGCATAAGGGTCGGAGTGTTTGTACCATTTCGTCCTAGGTCCTAAGGTCAAATACCTACCTGCAAATATGACCTCTGCCGCGCCATAAATGCTGAGGTGCACTCTGTCCCTTGCCTTCTGTTCCAGCGCCCCATTTCAAAACGCCAAATTCGCGTGCTCTTGCTGCTGCTCAGGTGGCGTTGATTTTGGAAGAGCGACTGATCAACAAACAGGTACAGAGGAGGCACGGCAATCTGTTGAATATCTCCTTGTGACTGTATCGTGAGGTGCTTGTATAGGGCCCAGTGTCCGAAGACTACTGCACCTCAGTAGGCCTGGCTGCATAATGGTCAGATTTTCTCTAGGTAGACGAAGTGCCACTCTACCTACTCCTGCCACAGTCGTTCCGGCCCGCAAGTATGCAGTAAATCATCATCACCATCGGTCGGTCGGGTTTAAGCGGGCTGACTGGCTCCTAGTAGGAGGACAGGAAACGCGAACTCGAGAGCCCCACCTCATTGTCCCTCAAACCATCACGAAAAGGCTCGGTAGAGCTACAAAGACAGCACACAACACAGAGCTTTGGCGCCTTCTTATATGTGACTCAACAGCAGCACTGTCACAGGTGAAAACAGTCATTGTAATAGCTAGAACTACTCACCCAAATTATGCCACAAATCCACATCCATCAAACGTCGTCATCTGCCTGCTCTCTTGTTGTTGGAATCACGTGCGGCCAGCGCCCAATCACAGCCAACCGTCAGCCCCGCTCCACCTGGGAATCCCACATCCCACACAGAGAATTCGCAAAAATTCATCATTCCGCTTGGGCCCTCTCCAAGTTTCGAAGATTTCTCCCCCGACGAGGACTTCACCCAGTCGAGTGCAACAGCTAAAGTCATCGAGCCCTTCGTGTCTTGACTTGCGCTGCATCTCAACTCTCCGGTAACTCTTCTAACAGGCTTAATCTTGCCTAGAAGAGGTTGCCCATCATGGTACGTTCTATCTGGTGGCATTCTGTCTCGTCAGCCTGGTTACCCCTCAGATCCATGGAATCATCGCTGCTCTCTCGCTGCCACCATCTTTACCACGACTTCCAACATCTAACTAATAGTGTGATCATAGCCTCCTCCACCGCATCAAAAGCCCGAAAATGTCCTGAAGCGCGCCCATGAGCTCATCGGCGTCAACCAGACGCCGGCGGCTCTTACCCTCCTCCACGAGCACATCACCAACAAGAGATCCCGAAATGTTCCCATCGTGTCGCTGGAGCCGGTAATGCTCCTTTTAGTTGAGCTTTCCGTTGAACAGAAGAAAGGAAAACTCGCCAAGGACGCGTTATATCAGTACAAGAACATCGCCCAGAACACGAACGTTGGAACCATCGAGCTCGTTCTAAAGAAGTTTATCGAGTTGGCCGCCGAGAAGGTCACCGCTGCGCAACAGAAGGCAGATGAGGTCCAGTCCACCCTCGAGGCGACGACTGGCACTGCCAGCGTCGATGACCTCGAGGCCAGCGAGACACCTGAGTCCATCCTGCTTGCCACCGTATCTGGTGAGCAGTCTCGGGACCGCACGGACCGCGCCATCGTCACGCCCTGGTTGAAGTTCCTCTGGGAGGCGTATCGAACTGTGCTGGACATCCTCAGAAACAATGCTCGACTTGAGCTGCTTTACCAGAGCACTGCTATGCAGGCTTTCGATTTTTGCCTCAAGTATACCCGAAAGACCGAATTCCGCCGTCTTTGCGAACTCCTCCGCAACCATGTCCAGACCGCGGCCAAGTACTCGACCCAGATGCATGCCATCAACCTGAACGACCCGGATACTCTGCAACGCCACCTTGAGACGCGCTTTCAGCAACTCAATGTTGCTGTCGAGCTGGAATTGTGGCAGGAGGCTTTCCGCAGCGTCGAGGATATTCACACTCTCCTCAACTTGAGCAAGCGCCCGCCTAAGAACATCATGATGGCCAACTACTACGAGAAGCTCACCAGAATCTTCCTCGTCGGCGAGAACTACCTTTTCCATGCCGCAGCATGGGCTCGCTATTACAACCTCCTCCGCCAGTCAGCTGCTCTCGTTGCGACTGGCCAAAGCAAGAAGTCCGACAACCCTCCTGCTTCTGAGGCAGATCTCCAGAAGGCTGCTTCCTTCGTCCTACTGTCGGCCTTGTCCATCCCTGTTATTAGCACGACCAGGTCTCGTGGTGCTATGGTCGACTTCGATGAGGCGAAGAAGAACAAGAACTCCCGCCTCACTCATCTTTTGGGGATGTCACAGGCACCTACTCGAGCTGGCTTGTTTAGGGATGCCTTATCCAAGGCCCTGCTCCGCCGTGCCCGGCCCGAAATCCGAGATCTCTATAACATTCTTGAAGTCGACTTCCACCCTCTTTCCATCTGCCAGAAGATCTCTCCTATCCTTGCTCAGATTGGAGCCGACTCCGAGATGGAGAAATATGTCCTGCCTCTTCAACAGGTCATTCTTACCAGGCTGTTCCAGCAGCTGTCTCAGGTCTACGAGACAGTGGATTTGGAGTTCGTCGAGAGCCTTGCCCAGTTCCCTGAGCCTTTCCAGGTTACCCGAGCCACTATTGAGAAATTCATCATGAACGGCAACAAGAAGGGAGACCTTGCTATCCGCATGGACCATGCTACTGGTGTCTTGAGCTTCGACAATGACATCTTCTCCTCTGCCAAGGCTACTCACTCTGGTTCCGGTGCTGGTTCGGCTGAGGCTGACGGCAGCTCAGTCCAAAGACTGCAGAGCACTCCCTCTGAGATCGTGCGCTCGCAGCTTACTCGGCTGGCCAAGACGCTTTACACTACGTGCTACTATATCGATCCTACATTCAATGAGGCTCGCATCAAGGCCCGCGAGGCCGCCTTGCAACGTGCCAAGTCTGGTGCTGACAAGGAGCACCACGACATCCTTGCCCGAAAAGAGATAATCCAGAAGCGCAAGGAGGAAGCGTCAGAGCTCAAGGCGCGCATTGAGAAGGAGAATGCCAAGGCCAAGCGTCTCCGTGAGCAGGCCCTGCTGGAAGCTGAGAACCAACGTCTGCAGCAGGAGCAGAAGGAACGCGAGCTGAAGAGAATGCAGAAGGAGCGTGAAGAGATCCACGTTCGTGAGATTGAGAACACAATTAAGGAGCTCAAGCTCGGCGGAACTAAGGATCTTGGCATCGATCCTGAGGAGCTGGCGACCATGGACAGCAGCCGTCTCCGAGCTATCAAACTCGCCCAGCTCGAGCGTGAGAAGAACGACGTTAATGAGAAGATGCGCATCACTGGAAAGCGTATTGATCATTTGGAGCGTGCGTTCCGAAAGGAAGAGGCAAAGAAGCTTGCCGAGGACTACGACAGGCAACGTGCCGCTGATATTGCGGCTTACGAGAAGATGAAGGAGGAGACGTTGAAGGAGGCAGAGGAGAAGCACAAGGAGAGCGTTGAGCTCAAGCATCGCCTAAGCCGTCTCATGCCATTCTACGACTCTTTCAAGGAGAATCTGCACAGGAAGCGCCATGATGAGTTTGAGAAGCGCCGCCGTGACGCAGAGAAGGAGCTGGAGCGACAGATTGCGGCTCGTAAGAAGGAGTTCCGCGAGCGCAAGCTCCGAGAGAAGAGGGAGCGCGAGGAGCAGGAGAGGGCACTGCGCGAAGCAGAGGAGCGTGCCGCCAAGGAGAAGGAGGAGCGCGAGCAGAAGGAGGCAACGCGCAGAGAGGAGATGGCGAAGCTGAAGGCCCAGCGCGAGGCAGAGCGCCAAGAAACTCTCGAGAAGGCAGCCCTTCAAGCTCGCCGCGAGGAAGAGGCTCTTGCCAGACGGAAGGCCGAGCGGGAGAAGGCTTCTGCTGGTCCTCCGTTGAGGCGGGATACCCCAACTGGCCGTACTGTGCCCGTGATGGAGCGCACGGATTCAAACGAGCGCTCGTCTGGTCCTCCACGTCTGCAGCTTGCGGGTAGCAAGCCAAGCTGGCGTGACCGTGAAGCTGCTAAGTCCTCTGGCGCGCCCTCGGCACCCGCAGATGTTGCTCCCCCTGCTGCTAAGCCAGAGCCGCCTGCTGAAAGGACAGACTCAGCCGAGCGGTCATCCGGCCCACCTCGACTACAGCTCGCGGGTAACAAGCCCAGCTGGCGTGAGCGTGAGGCCGCCAGGGTCGCAGGAGGTGCTCCAGCAGATAGGAACGGCCCTCCTCAAAGGACAGCATCTGGCCGTGGAGCTCCTCTTGACCGTGTCGGATCCGGCAGGGGAGAGAACGGGCACGACGAGTCACCAGCCGCCGCTCCCGAGCCTCTCAAAGCAACGGGTGCTCCGGGCAAGTACGTGCCCAAGTTCCGCAGGGCAGAGGGCAACTAAGCAACAGCGGAGAGGCCAACCACTGCAGCTTGCATTTGGAGTTCAGGTTTTCACTTAGGGCTTGTTAGGCCACATCTGGAAAGGGGCTATCTGTATTCTATCTGGCATGCTAGAGAGAGCTGCACGAAAGATCGGTGCCCCTTGGTTGATAGGGGAACGTCGTCTAGAGAATGGAATGAATACATGCCTAGTTCAACTCACTCTGGTCTACCTACCTAAGTGCTACCATATACTTGAACGTAGTAGCATCATCTAATGAGGAAAAGTATTATTATGTCGCAACTCATGTAATCGGTCTGTCTGTGTGTATGTTGTGATCCCAGATGTGCTGGAAACCCTGAGGCAGGTATCAAGATATTGTGTAGCAAGGCGTCACGAAGCAGAAGCCTTATAAAGAGGCCTCAAAATACGTGAAAGATTTCTACCTCGACTAGTTGGTGTGCCATTGCAGCATTACATCTGTGCGTCCGCGACTGAATGAATGAGTGGATGCAGTCTGGTTTGTTTCGTTTCATCTGCTCTGTAACCTCGTATGCACGGATATCATCTTTTTTCTCAGCTGTGCATTGCCGAGTGCCCCGAATCGAACGATGCAGCAGGAGCCCCGAGCGGCTGAAAAGGACTCAACACTGGGCGGATGGACCCTCAGAGATGGGCGTCTTTTGACACATGGTGGCTGCGTGGCGCTGAAATTCAGGGACGCTGCTTTCACGCGCGGACTTGCCCAGGAGGAGTGGAGGCAGCCGGATGAGGTTCGATGGGCTTGTTGAGGCGTCACGATGGCTTGCGGAATTGTGGGTTAAGGCCCTGGACTAACAATAGAACAGAGGCCATGTGCGATGAGGTCTGTATTTTGGTCTTGGCTTGTAATTATATTGACGCGTAACTGTAGAGAGCTACATTTGAAATGCAGTGTAAGTGACGGTTTAGGACATGCTTCAACCTGTCCCAAGCTATCGGTCTGCAAATCTACACGTACAAAAAGAGCCTTGTGGGGACTGTTTGTGCTGATCGATGGGGGCAATTGTCGAGCTGCCGAGTCGAAATCAGGACATGCCGGATGCTGATCCTCTTCGCTCCCAGCCGGATCAGCGACTGGCGGGGACGTTGCGATATCTCGTCACTTTTCTGCAACCTCGATCCGAGCTCTCCAGATGCTGTGTAAACAGACTCACGAAACAACACTCGGACTTCTCCCATTTCTTGGTATGTTGGCCGCCCTCCTTTGTTCCTACGATTTCACAAGGCCTGAAAAACAGGTCGAGGGTGGTATCAGATTCATTTTGGCTGTCATGGCCCTTCGTCACCGTGCATCTTCCCATCAGCAATGGTTTGCCTCGCTTCCATCGGGCACTTTCTACGAATGGCTAGCCTGCTCATTACCTAGGTACCCTATCCCCTTCCACCCACAGGCCCTGGCCTGCAGATGCCAAATAGGTTCATAACAGTGTCGTATTAAACATAGTACACTCTTTTTCTTGTCATTTGCCTTGACATTGGATGCGACCTCTCATGTCAGCGGCACATCACACATCACATCCCATCCCATCCCATCCCATCCCATCCAGCCAAGATGATCCGAGGTCAGTCCACAGCGCACGCTACCCACTCGCTTGTCTTGTGAGCGATTATCATGTTGCCAAAGCCATGGATGCACTGCACGTGGTTGCACGGGCTGCACAGGCAACACGAGCATACAAGCTCCGCAGTATTCATGACTAGACGGTGCATCAACAACACCTCTCCCCACCGGGGCAGTGCTGGCACACTGTTGGTTGCATCAGTTCGACGAGAGAACCATCGAGGAGGCATCGGCTGATGGGACTGCTAGGATCTAACCAGTCCTTAGACTCTTCCGGATTCTGGTATGCCGAATTTCTTCGGGCGGCACGATCGTCTTCTTCTTTCTAGCTTCGACATGTCGTCGTGAAGAAACTTCTCTCCGAGACTATCACATAGAATAGTATAGCTCAGCATCCCGTCGTCTGTGGGGTCTACCAAACCCGCGCTTTTCTTTCTCTCGACTCTGGCTCTCGGCCCATGTCCTAGCAGAGAACTTTTTGGCGAGAGCCTACAGAAAAGCAGAGGCAGAAGAGAGAGACTAACAGAATCCCTACCGCCTGTGGATGCCACCTCTTCCCAAATCGGCCTCGACGAGGAGTGCTTGGATCCGGGGACAGGCCTAGACCCAGGCACTTCTCAGTGCAGATGGCAGGGATCCGGGCTCTAATGCAGGTACCGCTCAGGGCTCATCAGAGCACTAGCCAGGCTGGCCAGTCAGGGGAGCCGTCATTTCGCCCGGGGCTGCTAGGACGTTTATTCTGGTCTATTGGCATTTGGGGTCTGCAATTGGCCGGCGGCACCGTTTAGGTCTTGGCCTGGTCCCCTGCCTTGCCGCTTTGGGCACCCTGGACCGGATCCCGACCAGGGGAGCTACTGACTCTATCTCTTCGGCCGTCACCTTTTTTTCTTCTTCGCGCTCACAATGGCAAGAAGACATACACCAAGTAAAGGACCACGAGTGTGTTGCCGAATGAAGCAAAACAGCTACCTAGCTACAGTACCTACCTTGCCGCTCATCAAGTCACCGTGCCATCCATCCACCGAGGCAATATCACCGTTGCAGCTAGCTCTTATACCTTTGGAGCTGAGGGACCTGGCTTCTGGCTTCTTTACGTCAACGGCGCTCGTCCTCCTCGACCTGGTTGTTGACCCTCTGGCCGGTCGTCCGATGGCTCCGATGGCCTTTTCTGACGGCCTCATCCCCAGGTCTACCTAGCTACCTACTCTCGCTTCCTTTAGCCGCCCTGTGTTATGTGTTATTTATTATTATTATTACATCCAGATTCAGTTTGGATGGCTTCCGGGTCTCGGTACTAACAGAAATCCGTGGTGATGCCCCCCAGACTTTAGGATTGCCATGACTCTGTTCGGCCATGCACCATGCTAGCTCTGAAGCCAGCAACGGTCGAGCCAGGTGCGGGCTCTACTTTACCTGGGCAGTCTACTTTAGTCTACCTTACATGGTACGCTATGCAGTTGCAGTGCCGTGCACTGGCTCAATCCTACCTACATGTACCTACAGTACCACGATGTCAACGCCCAAGCGGGCCCATCTGGCGCATCGTGCCCATCGTACCTGCCCTTTTGTGTGTACCGGTACTCGACCGTATTCTCCTTGCGGAGGTACTATGCAGTAGGTGCAATGGAACCCCCCTGGCTCGTGGCACTGCCCACCCGGCGAGCTCCCCGCCCAATCGCACCTTCCCCTGCCCTTGGTTACTCTTGCCGGTTGCTCTGCTTTGCATTTGCATGCGAGAGCAGTATAAGGTGCTGGTGATGCCTCCTTCCATGTGTTTTCTGCTCGGTAGCCGTTTCCTCGTCGTCTTTGACTCTGGGGTGGTGCACCGACTCTTCGTCGCCTTTTCTTCCTTCCTTCTCTATCAGACCATACACTCGTTTCTTGGAAGCCATTCGTTGCTTCTGTCACTCGCTTTACACCACCATGGCCTCCTTCAGGTCTCTGGCTGCTCTTGCAGCTCTTTCTCTCGTTCAAAATGTTCACTCGTGGAACATCGATCTTCCTATTTGCACTGAACCCTTCCAGCCCTTTGTGTACTCGGGATGTTATCAGGATCTCAAGAACCCCAATGCTCTGATCTTCAGGAGCGACCTCGACACTCAGAGCATGACGGTGGAGCTCTGTGTTGCTGAGTGCAAGGGTGGGTGAAGCCCGTGCTGCACATATGATATGCCTCAGAAATACTAAATTCTCATACAGGTAATGGCTATCGCTATGCTGGTCTGGAGTATTATGGTGAATGCTATTGTGGAACCAGCGTCAATGGTCCCCAGGTCGACGAGTCCGAGTGCACGTTCCCCTGCACTGGTAACTCATCGGAGACATGCGGAGGGAACAGCTTCATCAATATCTGGCAAGACACTACGTTCCCCACGGAGGAGGCGACCATTGCGGACTACGTCTCCCTAGGCTGCTACACCGACGACTCTGACAGTGGCCGCACCCTCTCCTATCCTATGGACAATGTCGACTCGGCCACCATGACCACCGAGATCTGCCTGGATGCCTGCAAGGACGCCGGCTTTCCGTTCGCCGGCACTGAGTATGGCGGCGAGTGTTGGTGCGGTGTCGTTGTTGGCAACTTCTCCACCTCGGCCCCGTCTGATGAGTGCTCCATAGCCTGCAACGGCGACTCCAGTGAGATCTGTGGTGGCCGATCTCGCCTGAATCTGTATGTTGCCCAAGATCTCGAGTCGCTCCAGCCTTGTGGCTATGTGCCAAGCTCTTCGTCGTCCTCAGTCTTGCCGCCGACCAGTTCCACGAGCTCGGTCAGCTCAACCAGCTCTGCGTCTACGTCATCCACGTCGACCACTTCTTCTCAGCCCGTGACATCATCCAAACCTGTCACATCGTCTACGACAAGCTCGGTAAAGACATCATCTACCACGTCTTCCTCTACCAAGAAAACATCATCTACCACAACTTCATGCAAGGAAACAACCACGAGCAAGCCGAAAACCACCTCGACGAGTACGTCAACCAAGAAGACGTCGACGACGACCTCACCTTGCAAGGAGACAACTACGTCAAAGACAAGCTCAACGAAGACAACGAAGACAACATCTACCACAACGCCTTGCACTACTAGCAAGGGCCAGCCGCCAAAAACCACGTCTTCGACGACAATCTCAACCACCACCTCAAAACCAGTAACCACCAAGCCACCGGTTTCAACCACATCCAGCGCCGCTCTGTGCACCTCAACCGTGACAATCCCATCAACTTGTGAGTATGGATGTGGTAAGTGGTGCTCTGACGAAATTCCGGATTTTGATGATGTCGATGGTTGCAAGTCTGGCTCCTCTCACTGCAAACTGCAGGTTGCTGCCTGCTTCAAGAATGCTGGTTGGCCAGGAGCTATGGACTGCTTTGACTTCTCATCATGGTGCTCTGATATTGGTAGCTACTGCACGTCAGCCTCAAGCCGTGGTGGCAAGTGCAACAAGGGCGACGCCTGGAAATCGAAGCCGCCTAAGGGAGGCAACTCGCCCACAACATCCACATCTGTCTATACTTGCAAGCCGACATCCACATCTACCACATCCACCAAGAAGACCTCATCCACGTCAAGCTCAACCACCAAGTGCCCTGTGCCGACTGCCACTGGAATCTGCAAGCAGCCTACCAACAACCAGTATGGCTATGGCCCAGGCAACCCAGTTGGTGATATCGACCTGCCTATCTTGACGTGCAACGACCTGAAGGATGACTTTTCCAAGTATCCCTTCAAGCTGTACACTGATAGCGATTCCAAGAAGTGCGGTGGTTACTCCCGCCCCTCAGTCCCCAACGCCTGCGCGGACGCCTGCAAGGCACAGTACGACCAATGTCAGGATACCTACGCGACGGGCTGCAAGGAGAAGAACGGCGTTGGCAGCAGCAAGAGCGGAAGCAGTGGAAGCAGCAGTTGGTGGCCGTTCTGGAAGCGATCCGCATTCCCAGGCTCGTACTTTGACTACATCAAGGCGCCCAACAAGCGTACATTTGGCTGGACAGATACGTACACCACCGCCTCGTCGAAGTGCACTGCCCAGTACAATGACTGCCTGAGCCAGAATAAGGGCGTCAGTGCTGGGACTAAATGTACCAGCTATGGCACTGGCTGGTGAAGAGGGAAAGGAAGTAAACAAAGATAATAGTACTATTTCTACATCAATGTCTAATGTAATTTCTTTAATGATTGGAGGGGTATATGGGGGTATCATTTGGCAGTATCGGAAGGATTGGATACTACACAGCGGTCATCATCTAGGCACGGATATTGGCCGGACACTCCTTTCATGAGCAACAACAACAAGAAATAAGAATAACCGACTGTTCGGTATAACCAGTATATCATACGCTTCTTACGCTCCCTCAACACATACTTACAGCCGAGAAAAATTAGTAGTAGTATTAGTAATGAGAGAACGCAACGCAAGGACTTACCTTGCGTGATTCATGTATAAGCATTTCACTTCTCGATTTCTAGGAGGGTGTCGCTCTATTTAAAGGGGTTCTTGTCTGAGAAAGAATGTCCATTCTTGTCACAAGCATAGTAGGTCGAACTATCGTTCATTCTGAATGGCCACTCCACCACAAAAAACAAAGAGATATCCGAAGTCATGCAATTATTTATTTTTTATTCCCTATGTCTGCGAGTCTATCTTATCAGGAGGCTATCATGCATATCATTTGCGTCCAAACATATTGCGAGAGCTACTTCATGCTCGACAATTGCTACCTATTCGAAGGCGAGAACAGCCCGGTATCTTACCTTCCCAGCCTGCAGTTTCTCGAATATCTGGCTGACAGTCTCTGCACCTTCATGCTTGAAGACTTGGATCGTAGGCTTGATGCCGTTGCGTGCTGCAAAGTCGAGCATGTCGTCGTGTTCGGCCCGCGAGGCAACGAGGCTGCTCTGGATGTGGAAGATATCCCAGAAGATCCGGTCGGCTCTGTTTGATGCAGCGGCCCATCCGTTAGTGTTTCTGCCGCACAACGTGAAGGCGGCAATGGCCGAGAAGACTTACGGCAGGACGAGAGGCCCTCGAGTTGGAGCGGAGAGAGGCACGATGACGCCGCCCCTTGCGAGGACGGACTTCTGGGCGAATCTGAGAGGGGAGATGGCCATGTTAGAACCTGCACGACGTGGGCTCGTGGGGCGTGAGGGGGCGCGCGCGCGCGCGCTCTGGACTTACTTGTCCCAGTCTGGGTACTTGTTGCTGGAGATGATCATGGCCTGCACCGGGGCGCGGACCTTCTCGGGCTCACCCATGAGGACGAACTCGCTGGCGCCCAAGGCCCTTGCCTCCTGCTCCTTGTCCTTGCTCGTGCTGAAGACGACGACCTCGGCGCCCATCTTGGCGGCGAACTGAATGGCCAGGTGTCCCAGGCCCCCGATACCAATGATGCCCACGCGGTCGCGCGGCTGGATCGTCTTGATCAGGGCGCTGTACACGGTGGCGCCCGCACATTGTAGGGGGGCGGCGTCGGCGCTGTCCAGGGCGTCGGGGATCTTGTGGACGTAGCTCTCCTTGCCGACGTAGTAGGGGGCGAAGGAGCCATTGTCGTAGTCGCCCTCGCCGTAGATGACGCGGTCGTAGCACAGGATGTCGCGGCCGGTCAGGCAGTAGCCGCAGTGGCCGCACGAGGCCTTGTGGAAGCCGCCGCCGGCGCGGTCGCCGGCCTTGAGCTGGGTCACGTCCGAGCCGACGGCCTCGACGACGCCCACGCCCTCGTGGCCCATCGCCAGCGGGGCGCCCGCGTGGGAGAACTCGAGGTCGGTGTAGCACACGCCCGAGTGCGTGACGCGGATGAGCACGTCCTTGGGGCCGAGCTCGGGGATCTTGGCGGGGGCGGCGATGATGGAGCCGTTTATCGTGCGGAACACATTGTATTCTTTGCCTGTGAGATTTGCGGAGGCCATGGCGGTGTTGTGGAGGTGGAATTCGTTGTATGGGTGTTGTCGATGAGGAGTGTTCGGGGTGGTTGGGATCGGTCACTGTGAAGACTGGTTCTGTCCCACGACTTCAGGAGACACGAGCGTCCTTTAAATCTCTGAAGGATGTTCAGTACAAACGGTCCATTACTAAGAGCCGGAACCTGGTGGCCTCGTCTGGACATTGGTATACTGAACAAAGAGGAGGAATGAGGCATAAGCATCACGGTCTACGCAGTTACTCAGCATGCCGCGCGGTTTCATCTACGGCATCATAGTGGCCACCAATCCCTGACGGCACAAGGACGATAGTCAGGCAGAGACACAGTAGCGTAATGGATGAGCCGCCCATGACCTTACTCCGTGACTCCGTCGACGAATGGTAGCAAACAATGCTCGAGGCATAGACGCCGGTAACCATCTCGAGGCAAGCACGGTGGGGATTACTCAACTGGATCGTCGTCTGATTGATGGAGCAAGCAAGACGATGACAAAGGCCCTGAGTTTATTCGAACCGCATTCCACTAGAGACATGCGATGATGCGTCGGACTCTGGCTAAAGATGCATGGTGAGAATCAAAGTCAGGGGCTAGGATTGTTCAAGGGGGTGGTAACGGTGTTACGGCCGGATACAAGAGCCGTTTTGGCACATCGCTCTGTGGCTAGCCAGATCAAGTCCACCTCAAACTCCGTATCTCCTGTAGACTGGGCCACAACATGTTGTTCTCGCAGTGTTGTCCCGTGGAGAAAGGGTGAAGTGTGTAGATCAAGAACTATACCTAAACGGGAAAGAAGTGTAATCAAGTCACGATTACTGATCTTGCGTAGTGTTGTAAGTTACCTAGAAAAACCCCAGGACACAAGCTTTTGATGCCAGGGGAAAAAAGGCTAGGAACTTAATGACAAGTATTTCAGAAGCAGAAAGCATGAAATGTGCTGTTGACAAACTTGATCGGGGACTAATCACTCTGCTTTTGTTAGGCACATGAGACCATGCCAACGCTTCACGAGAAATGCTACTTAGCATGGAAGAATCCTAGCCATAAGCCAGTCGCTCAGTAGTTCATGTTGAAAGAGTCGGCTGCTTCAATTTTGTAGTACTTTGAAGCAGCCGAATGACAACCTTGATGCCTTTTGAGACCTTTGAGTGAGTACAACCTATAAAGGACTAAAGCTCGCCGTCTATTGAAATAGATCGATAGTAACCCTAGGTGGACACATAAATCGGGATATATTAACAATAATTTATATTAAAAACTCAATGTATGCTTCAGATTTACCTATATTAGAGACTTCCATCGAGAAATATTATGCGTAGGCCACTTTCTATGTCGTGTTTAGTTGATCTCTACATGCCATTGGTGAAGAGATGACCGGCATCAGGTCACAAGTGAGGTTGATGCAGATAAGATAAAGCGGGTAAAAGCGGGTCACCAAGAACGCTGGTCTCTTTCCTATTCGGTGGTGGGGTTGTCAGAAATAATTTTTGGGTTTAGTGATCTTGCCAGGACCCTCGGAAAGAGAGACAAGAAGAACATCATCATTTTCAAACAATTTTTCGGACTTGGCGAGAGGCTCTGTACTTATCGCCGTCGTCTCGTCCCCAAGATGCGTCCCCTCACAGAATCGGAAACGCAAACATTGTTTGCAAAGCTGGCAAACTATGCCGGCGGCTCAATCAAGCAGCTCATCGCACCTCTCGACGACTCCCCCAATGCGGACCGCTACGTCTTCCGCATGATTCGCGACAGAGTCTACTATGTCCGCTTGTCTGTAGCGAACATGGCTACCTCTGTCGCTAGAGATAAGCTGCTATCTCTGGGTATTTGCCTCGGTTCGTACCTTCAATGCTCTACCTGTCCTGTCCTTTTGCTGACTCTCCGACGTATAGGTAAATTCACGAAGTCGGGCAAGTTCCGCCTCCACATCACTGCACTTCCAGTCCTTGCCGAGCATGCGCGCTACAAGATCTGGGTTAAGCCAAACGGCGAGATGCCCTTCCTCTACGGCGGCAACATTGTGAAGGCGCATGTTGGTAGATGGTCGGATGACTGCCCCGAGCACCAGGGTGTTGTGGTTTACAGCATGAACGATACGCCGCTAGGCTTTGGAGTCACGGCCAGAAGTACGGCCGAAGCGCGGCGTCTGGATCCTACAGGTATTACCTGCTTCAGGCAGGCGGATTGTGGAGAATACCTTCGAGACGAAGACACGCTCTTTGCTGGTTAAGAGCTTTGCGGAAGAAGCGAGATGCTTGCCAGGGTGGATTCGACGCGACGTGGTCGATCATCGTGCTTACGAAAGAGAGTCACTTGTAGAATGGGGATTCTTCATCTGTTTGGCGTCATGGAATGGGAAAAGCACGACTTGGGAGTTTGGTATGGTTGATATTCCTCGATCAGTGGCTAAGGGCTGGACTTTTTTATATACCTCGATTAGACAAATGCACACCTCGGTCGCATCTAACCAATTACTCCGAGACCTACCCCAGCAAGGCCCAAAAACGCCGCAAACATGTTTCTATGCGTGACTTTCATACTCCGTGATGCCGTGGATGAGCCCTTCAATCTCAGGGATTGGGGTCTGGGGTCGGCTCTCCCTCCTAAAGAAGCTGATGTGTTCCCGCTCCGCCACGTACTCACTGTCGGCATAACCCAATAGCGCCTCAATCTCCTTGCTCTGGCGGCCCTTTATCCTGGCTATCTCGGCCGAGGAGTAATTTGCCAGTGCTCGTCCAACATCTTCTGCAGGACCGACCCAATGTCTGCCATCGGCTGATGGCACAGGTGATCTTTTGACAACAACTAATCGTACCGACTCTTGCTGGGCAAATGTCCCCTCGACGTCCACCACGCCGACAGGGAGTAGGCCAGCCTTGTCGAGGAGGGCCTTGTGTGCGCCTGCGTCGATGTAGACAGTGCCGTGTGGCTTTAAGCCGTGCAGGATCCAGAAGGTTCTGTCTCTGATAGGTGTTGGTGAGGGGAGGAAACGGGTGTGAAGGGGTGGCTTCTGTGCGATGTCCATGTTCAAAGAGCTGATTGACTGTGCCAGAGGGTCATCCGCAGTGTCTTCAACGTTGATATGCGTTTGTAGGGACGCTGGTGATCTGCTGGCTTGTATGTACTGCACAATCCTGCCTATATTACCAGGATTGGAGGATCGTGTGATGACTGTGGTCACCCCTGCGGACGTTGCGAGCCTGGCGGCAACAATCTTGGTCATCATGCCACCAGTCCCTAATGCAGAACCGGCTGAAGACACTGCGCCGAGTTAGAGCTGTTAGAGCTGAAAGGGGAGGGGAGCGTACCGTCAGCTGTGAGAGCCCCTATATCCTCCACGACTTCGATCGGTTGGGCATCAGGGTTGGTCCGCGGGTTCTTGTCATATAGGCAGTCAACGTCCGTCATGAGAAAAAGTAAATCTGCATGAATCATAGCTGCCGTGATGGCAGATAATGTGTCATTGTCTCCGAACTTGATCTCGGAGACTGCTAGGGTGTCGTTCTCATTCACGATGGGGATGACACCCATGTCCAGAAGCTCGTTGAATGTATTCTGGGCGTTGAGGTACCTCGTTCTCTACAGGAGAAGATTAGCCTGGGTGTCTCTGACGTGTACAATGAAACTCACATCAGCAATATCATTCCGTGTGAGTAGAATCTGGGCAATAGGTTGCCGTAAATGGTTGAACAAGCTGTCCCAGAGACTCATCAACCGACATTGGCCAATTGCTGCTAACGCCTATAATTCTTGTTAATTAAAAACGACACAGATCAAGAAGTACGGAGCCTCACTTGTAATTGTGCTAGGTGCTTCGGTCTCTTTTCCTTGTCCATTCTACGAAGACCCACGCCAATGGCGCCGGAGGAGACGATGACAACTCTGTGGCCATTTTTCCGCAACTTTACGGCTGTCTCAACTATCAAAGTGAGAATTGAAAGGAGAGGTTCATGGCTCTTCTCATCGACAATCGAGCTCGTTCCTAAACGGACCCCTGTCAGTTTTCATGGATCCGGCTAACATGAAAAAAGTTGCATATTCCGCATTTGAGTCGACTCACCCAGCTTGATAACAACACTAAGGGGCTTATGTCCCTTCATAGCTGAAGCATTGAAGCATGAATATTAGCGAGGTTATTCTCGAGTGAAGTGTAGACTAGGGTATGACATATTTGGAGAAAGATCAGGCGAGAATCGGGCTCATCTTACAAGGGTCGTGCTGCTGCTCTGGGTCCATTGTTGCGCATCTGCACCACTCCTTTGCGCACAGAGGCCACCGCCAGTTGAGTCAGCCGGGGAGTGTCAATTTACAGTGGGTTGAGTGGTAATGAAGGGCACTTGAAAGGCGCAGGGGCCCAAAATTTTATGTAAACTGCATCAGGACCCCACCGAGGATCGGAGCGGCAGAAAACCCCAGTTTCTAGCGCTCTCACCGCCCGAAACTGCCGGATCCAAGACCGCCTTGGAGTCTCTACAGCACCGCCGGGCGAACGAGCTTCAAAGCCACAGCCGTCCTGCATCCATCCTGCCAAACAACCCACGGAATTCCACTCCGACCGCCTCTTATGCAATGCAGCATACATAGAAGGGTATATTGTATCGACGTATCGACTCTTCCGTGTGTCACGCGTATGCACAGCCCGTGAATACAAGGCACTCGCTTCTTGGCCTTGCGCAGAGCTCATTCGAACAAGGCCATAGACCACGCCCACCTTATGACAATGGCGTCCTCGTCGCCAGCCTCGAACCCAGAGCAGACGGCCACATCTGCTCCCACCCCCCAGCAGCCCAGCTCCGTGCCCAGCACGTCACCTCCGACACTCCCACGCACACTTGAGAACGACCCGGCCCGCACAGGCTTCGATCCCAAGACCAAGTGGTGGATCAACTACTTCAAGATCCTGACGGGGCAGATCACCACAGAGGGCGCCTTCCACTACCGCGAAGAGCGGTACAGGACGCACGAGGAGCGAGACTGCAAGCGGTGCGAGCAATACCGCGATTGGCTGCTGGAGTACAGCCCGACGGTGCGCTTCCTGGCGCAAAAGGTGGAACAGCTGAACGGACGCCTAGACGGGTCAAACATCCTCTGCAAACGATGTCCGGCGCGGCTTACAGATGACGGCCAGGTGCATCGGCAGAGTGGTGGGTTCAGTCCGAACCACGGTATCCTACTGTGCGCGAACGAGGTCAGGAATAGAGGGCATCTCGAAGATACCATGGCGCATGAGATGGTGCACGCCTATGACCATCTGAGGTGGAAGGTCGATTGGGTGGGGAAGAAGGATCTCAGGCATGCTGCATGCACGGAGGTTAGTTCCCCCATAGAACTGCCCATTTACAATGTGCAAAGCTGACTGATACTAGATCCGCGCTTCGATGCTGAGTGGCGAGTGCCGATGGACGAGGGAGTCCATCACTAGAGGGAACTGGACTCTAACACAGCAGTTCCAGGATTGCGTACGGAAAAGAGCCGTGCAGTCCGTCATGGCTCGGCCGATGTGTAAGGACGATGTGCAGGCCGTCAAGGTGGTCAACGAGGTCTGGGATTCGTGCTTTGCAGACACCAGGCCATTCGACGAGGTGTATAAGTGATACCCGCATAACTTTTGAATGGATACCTTGTATTAATACCCTGAACCCTCCTGGACCCCCGATGTTGCGGCATATCTACAGACCAATGCGTAAATAAAAAAGAAAGCGCGGTCAACAGTCATGCATAATCCAGCCGCATTATCCCCTCTTTGTCCCCTTGAACGCCAGCATAATAATCCTACAATACGAAACTCCATTCATGAGTCGTTGGCAGCTATCATTTCCCCGATGCCCTGTTGGTTGCTCTCTCGCCCTTCACGCAGTGCTTCACGATCCAAGGGTGCTGCTGAACCTCCTCCAGCGGTAACCTCTTCTCGGGATCTAATACCAACAGCTGGGAATATTGTTAGCGGAAAGATACATTGAGTTTTGAAGTGGTGTAGTGTTTCTTACCTTCTTGACGAGGTCTCTAGCCTCGGGGCTGACGAAGGATGGGATTGTCATATCGGCTCGAGCAATCCGCCTCTGTGTCATGACAGGCGTGTCCTCGAATGGCGCCTCGCCAACGAGGAACTCGTACGTCAAGACACCCAAGCTCCACAGATCGACCTTCTCGTCGTAGGAGTTATCCTTGCTGCCAGATTTGATCATCTCTGGGGGGAGATAGTCAAGCGTGCCGCAGAGGGTTGCTCTCCTGTGATTCGGGGCGTGCACACTCCAGCCAAAGTCGGAGATCTTGATCTCGCCATGAATACCGACGAGGATGTTCTCGGGCTTGATATCCCTGTGGATAACGTGTTTTCTGTGCAGATATCGTAGGGCAGAGGCCATCTGTGCGATATACTGAGCAGCTTTCCATTCCGGAAAGCGGTTCTCTTTCCTCAAGTGCTTGTACAACTCGCCCTTCGCTGCGAATTCCAGAATAAGGAAAATTCGCTTGCTGTCGTGGAAGTGGCCATATAGCTTGAGGATGTTTGGGTGCCGTAGATTGCTCTGAATCTCAATCTCACGGCGAATCTGCTTCTCGACACCGGAACCGTGCTGCAGTTCCGACTTGTACTGGACCTTCAAAGCGCAGATGAATCCGCTACTTCGTTCGCGGGCCAGGTAGACACGGCCAAACTTGCCCTTTCCTAGAGGTCGCCCTATCTCAAACATGCCTAGATGGAACGTCTTTGGCGCCAGCTCCTGAATCATAGTAACCGATCTCCGCTCGGCCAGCGCCTGCTCATCGGAGCTGCGCGCTGAAGATCCGGTCTTGTCCTTCTTTCCCGGTGACGTTTGGGTGTTGGAAACAGATTGACCCTTCCACTGTGCCTGCTGCGAGGGCAGTGTCACTGTCTGGACGGTGTTGGTATTTTGCGACTGGAGTGCGACTTTGAACAGATTCGGCCTGCTCGTGCTCTGCGATAATTGGGTCACGGTTGACGTCGCAATACCCTATGAACTGTTAGATGACTGCGAGATGCATTATTGGACATTGAATGATGCATACCTTAGATTTTGTGTACAGCCGAGTACCATCACCAGGATCGTTCTCATCGTTGACTGACATGCGCTCGAAGCGCTGCTCCAGCGTGCGACTAGCCATCGTTGCCATTGGAATCGATGAAGATGAGGGAGGAAGAAAGGAGGGAGAGAGAAAGTTTCCAGTCAGCACCCAGAAGTGCAAAGCGAAGTTATGGACGAGACTGACGACCAAACCTACCTATGAAGAGGAGAACTGGTGTCGGTGTGGTGGAGGGACCTTATTAGACCAGGTTATTTACGCTAGGGGCCAATGTGAGGCGAGGCACTGCTGAGATGGTCACCACGGCAACAGGCGATTCTAAAACCGCGGGGACGCCCCACCAAACACAACGGACATTCCATTCAGCCTCCAACTTCGTAACTCCCACTTTCACAAATAGAGAATGAAGAAGTGTCAACTCGACTTACACCCAAAAGGAAGGTTTTGTTTGTTACGGTAATATCTTGTAGCCTCGAAACTGAAAGTGCGCTCCCCGCGCAACAACAAGGTGTTGTTACCATGATATTGACCATTCACGTTTATCAAGTTGCAATAATGTATATCACTAAGAGCAGGCAAGATGCTGCTTGTTTTTTGAGTTTTCTACACCATGGCTTGTTGTGTTAGTCACTAGCAACCTGTGCTTTTACCTTGTTTTCCGAAGTCTCTGTCCTCTATTGCCCACACTGACCTGATGGACCATCGAGTTAATTGACTTGTACAACTAGTTTCTACCTCCAATCCTTTTCCATAATGGCTTTCGAGAGGATTCATTTGATTGGTATATTATCAGAGGTGACTCTTGAGATTCTCCGTGGGGGTTGCGTAGGAGACCTATCTCCGATACAACTTGGAGCTGGGCCGGAGGGAAACTCTCATGCTGGACATCATCTTGAGAAGAGCTATCTCCGATAGTGATACTTGAGATGGTTCATAAAGGATGCTTCTTCCAATCAATCAAGCCCACTTCCACAGAAGATTATTATACTTCACAAATTGTTCAGCAAACTACAAAGTAGGAGCGCTTCTTTATGACTTCACATCATACATAAGCTATAGAACAATCTACGATGGCGAGGACCCCAGAAGAAACACCGAACGGGCAAACAACAAGGAACGCTTCTTTGCCTTCTGGACCCGCTGCTTGTCCTAAGCTTGGAGAAACCTCAAACATAACAGCTGGAAGTGCTATCAGTCAACGACAAGGTGGTCCTCGCGTTGCGATATTCCCTCACTACGCCCCTCCGTTCTGGCAGATTTCAAGTCTATCACCTATCAAATACGACCAGAAGGCCGTGAAAGAAGCGGAGGATTGCCTCATCTACAGTCGTCGAAAAACCCTGTCAGAAGCTGCTCCGATCCTAGAGCGTCTTCGTGGTCTTGGTTTCGATGAAGAGAAGTTACAAGAGATCGGCACTCTTACGCCAGAGCGACGGGAGTATTACTTTCGTCGAGCTTACCTAGTTAAGAAGATCCTTCGTGCGTGGCGCAGGGGTAACAAGAAGATTGACCTATCCGCAATCCCAATTGATGAGCAATGCGGCAATGTGGATAACGATCTGATTTTGGTCCACTTCGGCGCACTGAAACACCATGACTTACTGGAACTCTACGGTGCGGGCAAAGATACATTGGAGTTTATTGGAGGCGGGCGAGGCTTGAAGCGGCCGGATATGATCAATACTCTTGAGGACGTCATGGCCTTGAGGCTGTTCCAGCCAGTATGCGAAAAACCTGTTCTTGAGATGTTGCGAGAGTTTTTGGGTGTGATAGACCAGTACAAAAGCACCGGCTCCCACTCTTGCACCATCAGCAATATGAAGGAAGCTACCTGGATGAGGTTGAAAACTTTCGTGGACTGTGCTTGGTGAACAAGCTTGTCGGTGGATCATGGTTATGCTCTGAAAAGAGTACGAGTAAACTTGCATTCCTTAATCTGGCGCAGGTAATAATAAAAGTTGACAGTGGCACCTCTCTCCATCCATGTGAAGTTGAAAGCCTAGGACCTTTGCATATTGCGGCGTCCCAATTATAGTTGTCGCCCCACTAAATCATCCCACGAATTGCCCCTCAGGCTCAGCCTCATGTTGAACTCTCAAATCTTCAACTGCATTTTCATCTCCTGCACCTCTCTGGCGAGCATATGAGAAACAAAAGGGTCGGCAGACGTTGAATACTCACAGACACACCTATTCATTTGATCATCGTTCTCAGGGACGTAAGACAGCCGTGATGCTGCACATCACCGCGGCTAACGAGCCGTATCCGTCTCCAGATATGCTGTCACAAGCCACCACCACACACACACAAGGGAATTTCCAGATCTCGTCGCGGAAACTGCCCATATCTAAGAGTGGACCGATAGACGACATGTCCAAGAAGCTGGGAATCCCGATTCCGGAAATGATCTTTGGCGACAATCTCGTCTCTATCAAGCACGTCCCTTCCGGCTGGACGGTGTCATTCACGGCTGAGGACGCCTTGGACCTGGTGGACAAGACAGACCGCAATATGCTGCAGGTTGCATATGCGGGATCGTGGTCATCCAGCCGCGAGCAGCAGACGGCCGGCATTAAGGAGGTCGTCAAGCCGTATGACTGGAGCTACAGCACTACATATAAAGGCACCGAGGCTGCCGGTGCCGCTGGCCAAGCGCTGGCGCCGGGATCGACTCCCATTCCTCTGGAGCTGCTGAAAAGGCGCGATCCAATCTTGTTCTTTGACGAGGTCATGCTGTATGAGAGCGAGCTAGACGACAACGGCATCAGCGTCTTCAGCGTCAAGGTGAGGGTCATGGCGCAACGGATGTTGCTGCTGTGTCGGCTCTACATGCGGCTGGACAATGTCGTCGTGAGAGTGAGGGACACGAGGGTATATGTCGACTTCGAGAAGGGTCAAGTTATAAGGGAGTATACTGCAAAGGAGGACAATTTCAACAACGCGAAGAGAGTGAGTTGATCGGCTGCGATCCTGCTATTTCTACCTCTTATGGCACCCACAGTGCTAAATGTGAAGCAGAGTCTACTGATGTCCGGTCTCCTCCCTGATGCAATCACCGTGGCTCTAAGGGATGCAAACCAGATAGCAAATCTACTGCCTATCGTCGATCAGCAACTTGAGACCGTCTCTCTTGGGTCATAGATACGGCGTATCAATTTAGGAAATGGCTCTGATGGCATCCATGGACTACGACGGAGCTGGTGGCGTTCAGGATTGTAGGATCAAGCTGGTGCGGCGATGACAGAAACGATGAGATGCCTCGACTAAAATGGTATCAAGCATAATTCATACCCGATGTACAAAGATATTTTCCCAACTTCGACGTTCAATCGTCGAAAGAATTTCATAAAGACTTCTCGATCCATGACCCGAGCTTCCTAGCGCAATAGCAAAATGTGAATAATCCTAGACTAATTCATCCAAGCTAGGCTTAACAGACTCCTCATACCTCCACCGGTTGCTCATCTGGAATCACCTCTGGGACTGGGGATGACGACTCCACAACCTCCTCGAAGTCCAGCGACCATTTGTCTACCTCCTTGAACCTCTTGCCCTGGGTCTTCAGTTCTTCACTGATTGGCGCCACGCTACCACTTGGCTCAGAATCGTCGAAGAAGGTGTCATCAACTGGCTCCCCAACCACGATTGAGTCTCCCTCGGTTTGATTCTCCTTATCTGAAAGGTTTCGAGAGCCGTATGTTCGTTTTGCTCGCTTTCCGCGTGCTGGTGCTTCTTTAGGTTTTTTCGACTGGTTTGTGGTAGCAGCACCTCCCAATGGCCGTACTGGCCGCCTTGGTTTTCTTGACCCAACATAGGAGATCTCGTCGTCCTCATTAGCAACGCCATCGTCGTCATCATCGGAAGATTGCATGCCAAATGGATCTTCACTACGAGCTCTCTGCCGTCGGCGAGGAAGCAACGATGCCAGATCAGCTGTGTTCAAGCTGGGGGTAGGTTCGCGCTTGGAGACGGCTTTCGCCTTGCGAGTTGCCCGTGCGGGAAAGTTGGGTGAATGTGTCAAAGATGGTGGCGAAGACATTTCTGATAAGGCGTCATCTAGTGCGGGTGTCTTCCTTGATCGTGAGGCTGGCCGCTTTGAGCGTCCTCGCCGTAGAGACTTGTACGATGGCCATACGGGCGGGCTTGCATTTGACGATCCGCTGCTAGCTGGTGGCGCCATGATCTCGTCCTCATTCACGGGCGTAGCAAATCGATCGCGGTCAAGGGCGAGTGAAGAAAGAGATGACTGGTCATCAACTTCGATGGAATCGTGAACCTCTTCATTGTCTTCCTCCTGCTCAACAGCTTGCCTCTTGGGCTCATTCTCTCCGAGATCCGTCGATTTTCTCTTTCGTGATTGAATACTGGAGGTTTCGCTCGGCCGGCCCCGGGACGGTCGCGCAGGCGTGCCTTCAGCCTCGGGTGCAAAAATCTCTTCGTCGTCCGCAGAGGTATCATCAGCAGGCCGAGTTGTAGATTGATTTGTTGACTCCTTTTGCGCTGACGATAGCAAGATGCTTGGTTCACGCGCTCTTCGCTTGAAGGTACCCAGACTGAAGGTAGAGCTAAGTCCTGGGGTGTTGGGTCCTCGGCTGCTAGGTCTGATTGGGGCGTCGTCTCTCCCTACAATGCTTGACTGGCGTGGGCGGCGCTTAAAGACACCAATGTTGAAAGTTGACGTATCTGTGGTGTGATGCGGATCTGCAGAATCTTCATCCTCGAAGCTAGTATCCAGATCTCCAAACATCTCGTCGTCCAAAACGTCCAAGCCAGATGCATCTGGCGCCCGTCTCTGCCGCGTTGCAGTCTGCTCCTTGCGACCGACCTCTACGGCAGGGCTGACTGCGTCCTCAGAGTTGTCCGCTCCGCTTGTTGTTGATGTGAGATTATCTAGCCTGCCTAGCGCCTCATCTCTCTTTCGCTTCGAAGCTTCGAGCGCCTCTGACGCCTGCGCATCGGCATTGCCACGCGCGCGCTCAAGTAGTGAGTCCTTTATTATAGATGTTTCCTTCGCCTTGCGGCCGCGTGTTGTCTTGCGGCCGCTGACATTGTCGACTTCGGCACTGCTGGAGCGCGTTTGGGCAGGTGCTGGGGGAGCTGTGGCTGGCGCCGTAGTCCGCGATGACGCGACGCGCGATCGCAGTGGTCGTGGCATGGTGAACCTGATACTGCAACACTCTCGTCTGTCTGCGGAGCACAATTGGTGATTTTATGCGGGTTCTTGTGAGGATTTTCGAGGAGTCAGGACGACCGAGAGTGGGAGAATAATGTATGATGCTGACGATATGGTGGTGCAGATAGCAGCTAGCTTGGTGGAGGGGAGAAAACAACGAAGGTGCGGGCCAGAGACGCGTCGCGCGTCTGGCCTCGGTTAGCGTCCTTCACGGGCTGCATGTACCTTCGTACCCTCCAGCCTCAACTTAACCAAGCTGAGTAATGCAGATGGATGTGCTGTTGATATGTATAGGCTCTGCTTGATCCGAATTATCAGAGGAGATAACATAGTAGAAATCAACGAGCTTGTCAATTGCATTAGATCGCATCAATGCGTTGGTCACAAAAGGTAATGTTATTATTTTGTTGCTGTATACGGTTGGTACCCGTTGACGAATGAAGTGTCGCTCTGCCCATTGGAAAAGGGACGGATATATATGTACAGTCAATAGTGCTATGCAGTTTCGCTGATATCAAGGGTTCAAAGGCAATCGAGCTTTTCGTAGTGCGCCTCAAAGAACATAGCCACCGACACCAACACAACTCCAGTCTCTGACACCCATGCTTTCCTCCAACTCGACACACCACCACAGAACCTCTTTCGCCTTATCGAGCTGCCCGCTCTCTTCATGAGCTCTTGCAAGAGTGAACCAAGCTTCTGAGTAGTTCCAAGATGTGCCTAACTTAGTCAGGCCGGACAATAGTCCAGACGCGCGATCGCGCGCCGCTATACGATCAACGATTGGTACAGATGTAGCTTTGTACGGAGGTGGTAGCTGGCTTTCTTGATGAGAAGCACCAACACCTTTGGAGCTTTCGGCGATCTTGTTCAGATCCTGGTTGAGTGACTTCATTTCGCAAAGACCTAGAGGCTCCGAGGGGAACGTCAAAACCTTACCGGGCTGGGGGGTTTGCACAGGACTGACAATGGTCGCTGTGCTAGGATCAGCACCGGGTAAGGGTATGGACGCGTCTACCCGAGTAAGAGCTGGTACAGCGGGTGGCGGTAGCAGCTTCTCGGTGTAGATATCTAGTAAAATATTTGATAACCCGACAATGGCAGCGGGATGATCAGGGAAATGGGTCAAGGCTGCCTCAAAGTCGGAACGAGCAGCGTAAGGGGCGCCTCTAGCTAGGGACAGAGCTCCCATCTACCATCGTTAGCAGCGACTCTCGCGTTCACCCTAGGTCGACAGCAACTTACCTCAGCCCATACATCCCCCCATAGTTCCTCAACCGGCTTCTTGTAACCCCATCCGGCATCCTTTAGAGAACTTGAAGAAGAAGTATCCTTGCCAGCATCTGAATCCATCCCGTTCACTAATTTCTGAGCTTCCGCGAGCGCAAGCTTTGCGTCATCAAGCATATTTGCTCGGCGATAGAAGCCTGCAATCATGAGCCAGACCTTGACGAGAATCGTGCTCCTCCGGCGCTTTGCCTGATCCTTTGAGAACTGAATCACGGGCAGTATGGCACCGGCAGGCACGACACCGTCTATAGTAATACCTGAGATCTCAGATGTTTTTGACTTATTGGATAGGTAGGACTCTGCGTGCGACAATGTTCTGCCAAGAGTCGGTACCTGACCGGAAGAACCGGGGCGCTTCTTGCTTGCGAAGCTGAAGAAGTCAAAAGACTGAAAGTCACCAAGAGGAGTGAAATAACTCTCTCCATCGATCACGGTCGGTTGATGAGGCACACCGCCGCTGCTCACGGCACGCCTGCGACTTCCACTGCTATCTCTCTTGCGGAGACTGTTCCTCTTAGTAGACTCACTGCGTCTCGTGCTTGCCGATTTCCTGGGTGTACGGGCATCTTTCACAGTTCCGTTTTCTTGCGTGATCTGTATCGTCGGTGCTTGCGTGCTTGCTGTCGTCTGTGTAGTTTGAGGTCGGGAAGGAATTGTCGTCAGCTTCTCGTTCACATCGCTGACCTGTCTACTGGAACGCCCTGATTTCTCTGAACGAGATCCAAATATACTACCCTTGATACTTCTCAATGTACCAGCAGAGCTTTTGGGTGCAGCCGCAGTTTTCGGGGCAGCAGCTAATTTGGGTTGAGCCTCTAGACTGCCAAAGAGTCTTCCGAATAAGCTCAAAAGCTCCAAGCTCGCATTGACCGCAATTTTAGGTCCTTCTAGGAGCTCGATGATGGCAAGCTGTGTCATCTTTATCTCGAGAATATTCTCCTTCTCAAAGTCGTCCATCTCATCAACTACCCCTTTCCCAGATTCACTTCTTTCATTGCCTGCCTCAGCCTCGTTCAAATGCTCGCTTCGATAAAGATTTTCGCTCCCAAATAGGACCGCGGGATCCTTGAATTGTTCAAAGGCACCCTCGCAAGCTCGAGCTGCCAGCATAAATTCCTGTCTTGCGCTCAGAAGAAGTGATAGAAGATGCCAAAGAGGAATAAGCGCTCGTTCCTGCCAGTACGGCCCGTTCCGGAGAACCTGACGAGCGGCACTGGCTTTGCTTGACAACAACACGGTCTTAAGTAGCTCGATAGCAGTGGTTAATTCTCGCTGCTCGGCAAGTAGGAAGCTCAGTGCGAACACGCTCCGTAAGTCTGCATAGCCTCCAAATTCACTTGACAGTGATTTTCGCAGGCATCGAATTGCCTTGCCCTGTATTTCTGAACGAGCAGAAGAGTCAAAAGTCATCCGTGCCCATTGTGCCTGGGCGAGGCCCATGGACTGCCAGGCCAATGCGAGAACTTTGGGAGACACCTCGTCTTCACTTGCCGCCGAGTTACGGCCCTCTTCTCGTACAGAATCCATGCCACCGTTCTGCGAAGGAGATACTACCTTGTCCAACCAATGCTCCAACTCGATGCCCAAGTCTCGCGCCCTTTCCGCGGCTGCTCGGTCTCCATATCGGCATAATGCTGCGATGCATAGTGAGATCGTCTCCAAAACGATTGCGTCATTATCGAGACTCTGCTCCCGGTGGCCAGTTTTCTCGACTCGAGCTTTACCCCTCTTGACCAGCTCAAGATATGAATCAAACGCCTTGAAAGCAAGGTCGAATTCTGCAACAGCAAGGTGAACAGTGAACAGGTGCCTCAGAATCGCAGTCGAATGAAAGGTCCTGACGGATGCCCGGTACAATATATCAAGTACGCCCCGACTGAGAGATTCTCTTCCGCCTTGTCCAAGATCTTGTTCCCGCCATCCTCGACCGCTCAGAACGGCCCAGTTCGACATCACCAGCTTGACAAATGCCTCGACTTCTTCGCGCTCCTCGCTCGCCCTAGGGAAATCTGTCTCGCTGAGGAGAAGCGCCTCGTATATAGACTCGACCTTCTTGACTTCAACTCGAAGCTGTGTTCTGGCGGATGATTTGTTGGTCAAGGCCGGTACGTAAGCCGTGGGATACGGAAGATCTTGGTCCACAATGGCGGACAAGGCGGCGTAGTATTCATACCAGATTCGCCGCCTCGGAACCGAGCCCCTAAAGCCATGTCCACCAGCCAGAGGTGCGCCCTTAGCACCCTCCCAATATCTAGCCCAAGACCGGAAACTAGCCATGGCGTTGGGATCCTCGAGAGACACATTTCCATCCTCCAAGCAGTGGGTGTAGAGCATACAGAACTCCGTCAAGAACAGCTCCGACCAATAGCGCAACTGCTGACGGGCCTGCTGGCTTGTCCATGTCGTCGATAATGAAGGGATACCTTCTTGGAAGACCGCTAAGGCCTCGATTTGCTTTTCATTCCTTGCCAAGCAGTTGGCTCGTAAATAAGCAGACTTCAAGGCGCAAACCCGGGTCCACTCGGAAATCTTGTCCGGAGCAACATCTATCGTATCTTGGTCGATCCCTTTGGGCAACCGAACAAAGGCTAAGTTATACTCCCCGGCAACCCAGTGTAGCCATCCGACGCAGACCTGGGCCTGAAATCTATCTTCAGAATACGTATGTTCCTCATCGATAGTGCTCAAAAGCTTTGGGAGTTGGTTCGCGACATCGAGATCCTTAACCGTGGCAGCAGTAGACGGACGTGTTCCGTTCGACTGCTGAGTGGCCATGGCAATGGCATGTTCGATATCAGCAGTCAGAGTCAGGCCTGAGTGCATTCAAAGCTAGATTAGTCTATTGTAGGTAGAGAAGATGCGCGCGGGTACAGCTGCCGTACATTTTCTCTCTGGAGCGTGCTTGCGAACTTTTCGCACCAACTCAGGGATCGCGCCCCATTGGCCCTCGCACCGAGCATCGTCGAGTTGTTGAATATAAGCTCGAGCTTTCGTCGGATTGGGCTGTTGCGTGCGGAGGAGCTCGAATTAGCCAAGTGACGCAACTTGGGGGGAAAAGGAGCACGGCGGACAGAGCTTGGGACTTACACTCATCTTGCGAAAAGCTCGTCGAGCACGAGCAGAGAATTAATGCGATGTCCAATCAGCCTTCAGCGACACGATGGCATCTCGAGGAGTGCTGCCGGAAGTGCTGCTATCTCTGGAGGAGACTGGCAACTGACGTGGAGGAGAAAGAGTGAATGCCGCGCAATTGGTGTGGGACGGCAATCCAAGCTCGATCTAGCTGGGACATGTGCTTCAGGCGGATTGGGGGGGATTAGACGCGATCGACACGGCTTGCTGGGCAGGATCAGTGGCTGCCAAAAAGGGCATTAGCACCCATCTCCTTAGGTCTTTCTTCACTGTAAGGAGCTCGGGATGCCCATACCATACTACCCGGGGCCAAAGCTCCAATCGGTTCCCATAGGCGCTAGCAAGATCTGGGAGGCACCCGTCGACCTGTTGCTTCTTCCCGTGGCCCCACTAATACTTGGGTACTTTCTCATTGCAGCACCTAAGTTCACTACAGAAAATTTTAGTATCAACGTTATGAAGCTTGTGAGAAACGACACAACACATATATCAACTTCTTTTGGTAATGAACACCTCACTGCTAATAAATCCGTAAAGACGAGGCTTCTTGGTTATTTGAAGAGATTGGAGACAAATAACTTCTACGCATACGACAGTTCCAAATCTCAATTGTGGCCGTGGGGGAACCTCGTCTCTTATACAAATCCGAATCCGTATATGAGAATTTCAAGATGTCTCTTCCGCCAGATCTACAAGTCCTGTGCCGGAAACTGACCTCGACACCACAAAACAATCTCGTCAGCGCCAGTCCCATACTCGTTCAGCACATTCTTCGCTGTGGTGATGCGCTTTCCCGGCCGTCGGACCAAAAGCCGAAGGACGGCTCCTCCGAGTCATCTCTCTTAGTTCACAAGCTGAAGACTCAGCTCAGCGCTCTCCTTAACAATGGAAGAAACCCTGAGGGGCGATTCGCAGCGGCCGTGCTCATAAAAGCTGCTGTAGACGTTGGGGGTTGGGAGTGTTTACGTACTTCGAAGCCGTGGGTGCTGGGTCTGCTGTCCATCTTGCAGGTAAGTGGTATGCAGAATTTTGCACATACTGGACACTGAACTTTGTCAAGAAAAACGACCCATTTGCAACAAAAGAGCTCTGTCTCGTAACTCTGACGAGAATATACTCGTTGCTACAAGATTATCAGACTCTGATCCGGGAAATCGCCACTCCTACGCTTCCCGATTTCTTCACGGCATGTTTGCAGCTGGTCAAGCAACCTACGTCTGGAAAACCCTTCAGTACTCCTCTAAGTTTCGTAGAGACTGTTGCGGAGGCACTTGCTGTTCTGACGCCCCTGTATCCCACTACAATCCGTCCATTCAGTTCCCAGATTCGCACGGCGTTCAAGCCTTATGTGGCACCAACTACATCAGACGGACTTGTAGTTCCGCAAACTCTGCGTGAAGCATCGAGACGACTGCTAGTTCTTCTGCATTACACAGCACCAAAGAATGGAAATGCAGAGGAGTGGGCCAGGACTGTGGATGGTTTCATCAAGGCTAGCCACTCCACGGCAGATCAGGTGTTCCGAGCGGTGCAGGAGTCATGGGAGCCTATCTCAGCTTACACGCGACAGACGGTATCTGTGGAAGGCGAGCCCCAGGGTGGCGCCTCTTCAGGGGATGATCTACCTGCTTGGTCTGGTCTGCGAAGCGGCGCAGAGAGGCTGGGTGGGTTGTTGGACACTTTGGCTCAATGTTTCCGGTGCCCTACCAAGATCCCAGTAACCGTACCTATCACTGCGTTGCTGGATCTGGTCTCGAGGGTCGCTCTCATTATTCCGCCATCAGCGGCCGCAAGGGACAGAGACGAACTATCAATAAACGCTGCAATTGGAAGAGAAGAGAGAGAGGAGTTATGGAGCAGTCTGCCTGGCATCCACATTGCCGCCGTGAACCTTCTCTACGCGATGGAGCAGCGATTAACGACCAGTCTATTGCCATTTGCCTTGGACATACTTTATCAGACCACGCGAGTCTTCAATGCAAACCGAACTCTCACGCATATGCGTGAGGTTGCTTTCACCCTGATCCGTGAGCTTCTCCTGCTACACGGACCGACCATGGCTAAAGTGTCCGTTGGCACTTTGGATCGCGTCATCCAGGCTTGCTGCCAAGACCTTCTTGGAGCTTGCGGCCTGGGCCAAACCGATAGCCGCAAAGATGCGGTGGCAGAGAACGGGACCAAAAACAAAGGTGCTTCATCAAACGCCGATGCGTACCTTGCATCTCAAGAGAAGAAGCGCTCAGCGCCTCGAGTTCTGGCTCCGGCGCACATGGCTGCGGCAGAGTCACTTCTCCCGGTCCTGTTCTCTCACGTTCCCCAGCAGCATCTCAAGCAGAATCTGCGCGGGCTCCTCGACCGTACGGCCATCCTCACCAGGAACAAGCGTGCTATGGTGGCCAGCGTGTTGCATCCTTTCAGGGGCAAGAACGGCAAGCCACTACCTAGCATCCTGCCTTTCCTCGTGAGGCAATTTCCCCGTGACCAGGAGGTCGAGGTCCTGCGTAGTAACCTACGCTTAGAAGCGCAGACGCTAGGCGATGGTTTTGGGCCAGGCGACAGCGTCAGTGTGTATGAAGCTGCCGATGTGGAGGATGGCGAGAAGGCATCCCATGCCCAATCTAACAATGGATGGGGCCAGTCACGATCAACAGAAGCAGAGTCAGGATTTGGAATGAAAGACGATCAGCAGAAGGCGTCAGATGAGGGCTTCTATGCCTTCAAGACCGCCGAGACTGTAGTCACGACACAGGAGCAGGCCGCTGAGGATGGTGACCATGTAATGCTATCCAGTGTACTCAAGCGAAAGAGCGTAGAAGTGGAGGAGCCAGCATTTGCGAAGCGGGTCGATACAGGCAAGATGTCAGAGCAGCAGTCAATACCTGTGTCTACCAAAATGGACGTGGATGAGGACAGCGATAGTGAGGGGAGCGTTCAGCTCGACATGACTCTAGATGATTTCGCAGATGACAGCGAGTAGAAAGTGTAGCAATAGAATCATACCAAGGCACATCAGGAGATCTCGTGAGAAGTGTGGTTATATTTTCTATAAAGGGGGTATAATGTTCAGACAGTGGAGCACAATGAGACGTCCCCCTTCACAGATGGACAAGCCGGCGGGCAGTGGCAGCCTTAGCTCCATTCAAGACTGCTCATGTCCAATGCCAAAGAGGGCCACTCAAGATGGGCTCACAACGTCTTTCCTCATGTCCAATCGATCCTTTTCCGTTCCGGTCCAGTTTATAACGCCTCCAATGGAAATGCTGCATACCACATGATAGATGACTTGTAAGACAAACCCGCCACATCAAGACGATGGCCAGATGCTCTTCAATCGCGCAGCCAGGCGCGTCTTTTCTCTTCTTTCCTGGCTTTGCGCTTCTCCTTCCACATTGAGAGCTCCTTCTTGGTCGGCTTCTTCCCCTGCCGCTCAGCTTTCAAGCTCCGACCGTCGTGCGAGTTGGCCGCCTTATCGACATCGAAGAAGTTGTTCATCTGACGGTAGCTCTTCGCCTCGTCATTGTGCCTGTCGGGCCCCTGGTCCGCCATCTGAAACTTGCCAGTGCGCTTGTTGAAGTGGGCCCCAGGGACCTGCAGGAGCGTGGGATCAGGGAGCTGCTCAACGCCATCATCTGCCTCCTCCTCGGGTTGCGTGTATGCTTGCGCGTAGGGCGCGTTCGGGTCCCAGGAGCCATGGATGGCTGGATTATACCCGCCCGCGACGGATGTAGGCTCGGAGGTAGAAGACGCCCCTGTGCCAGGCGCAGTGGTGCTAGCAGCCTGGGCGGCGGACGCTTCTGGTACTCGCGGGTTGTCCCATTGTGAGACGCCGGTGAAGCGGTTGTAGAAATACCACGCGCTCCGTGCAGCGTCCCACTCGGCTGACCAGCCATCGTCTGCCGGCTCTGATCCGGGCGGAGGTCCGGCAGGCAGCGGAGGCGCATCGCTTGCGCTCTCGGGCGGACCATCAGCTTTCGGGCTTGTGGAAGACTCTGCGTCATTGTCTGCGGCGTCGGGAGGCGACTGGTCTGGGGAGGAGTCTCTCTCGTCTGAGCTTCCTTCGCTGACCTGGCCCTCCTCAAGAGCGGTCGCGTCGGCAGGGGGGGCGGCCGCCACCTCAGCTTCCGCAGTCTCCTTTGGGGACGCCATTTCGACCTGGGCTCGCTCAATCCGTTTTTCGTAGGCGACTGGTGCTGCCCTTGGCTGGACCAAACTTCATAACTTGGTATGGAGAATGACGATAGTGTGGCGTTATAGTGAAGGCGCACCAATGTACTATTCAAATTTGTGCACGAATGTCACATACTGCGTCGATAGGCACTCACTCCTCGAGCTTGAAGATGGCTTCGCGGCGGGAGGCTGCTCAATGAATGGCGGGTGCCGGCATTTCATCGGCAGTCGCTCTTACAGTTAGTCCGGATTTGGCCAGGACCTTTGATGTGGGACGGACGGAGAAGCACTAAGACCCATACTGCAGTATGAAGAAGCCCCTTGCCTTCGGGCACCTTACTGAAAGCCTCGAAAGTAGAACAAAGTTATCGCTTTGAAGCGGTCTAGACAAGGCTCAATTTGGGACATGGCAAACTCGTAGGCGGACGAAATCCATTTGTATGTTTTCTCTCTCTCCCCCGTAAGGGGTAGACCATGCGGGGCCGGAGGTGGACAAGCTACCTAGTTATGGCCGAATCGTCGACGGGCAGAACGTGAGCAGAAGCAATCCCAAAAGACCGATCACTTTTGCCTCCTTCCGGTGTTTCGAGGTGCTGGCCCTTGCAGACGCGGCACTCGTCACGCTGTTCAACCATAGTAAGTCCCAATGGTTGCTCAGTGGCTACTTAGACAATGGTGATTAAAAGCGATGGTCTTGTTCAGTTGCCTCCTTACCTCTTCGCAGAAGCTAGCATTGAAACAAAACAGAGGTGTTCCATGGTGGGACCGGGGAAGTGGTCGGAAGCTTCCTGAAGCAGTGGGTGGCTCTCATACAATAATGCATTGTAGTCTGATCATAGTGACTATCACATCACCAACAATCTCCACCAGTAGACGCAATATTGGGCCTTCTCTCCCAGAGCAGGCATTTCAGAGTGGGCGTCGGCCACAAGGTGAGGGCTTCCAATATTGATACTTTATGCGTTCCAGCGAGCAGCATCCTCCAAGAGCAAGCAACGGGCAAGGATATAATTTGGAGCACAATGCGAGCCGCTGCTTGACCAATACGAAGTCTCATCACGTCTACCCGCTGAGCTTTGGCTTTGGTGGTTAGTTAGCCTTTCTGGGGTGTAGGTGGGATCTATTGGCGCGACTTAGAGCAGCGAGTGGTAGGTAGACTCGACCTGTCTTTCCTTACGTTTGCGTTGATCAGCTGCATTAAAAGATCATTTATTAATTCTCTCCGAAAATGGATTGACGGCTTTCTATCAGTGACCATAGGTCGTGCAGTACCTTGTTGTACGGCACGCAAGGTGAGAGAGAGGCGCAACAACAATAACAATAGAAGGTTCAAGAATGCATTTATCAAAACGCCTGCCTTATCTCGTCGCCAATAAGGAACACCAAAACCTAGGTATCTCGAATACAGTAATCGTCCTTCCACAGCCGACGCGCGTGATGTCATACTATTGGCGCACTAACCAGTTGGCGCTCCATCGAGATTAAGCATGTTGACGAGAAGCTTACAGTACGAGCCAAAGTTTCTTTACGAAACGCACCTTGTCAATTACAGCGGCTCGCGGCAACCGACCATACCATGCGTTATACGAACGATGCTGGCGGATGAACACATGGTATGAGGCTATGGCTCCGCCTTATACGGAGGTTCTGAGCACGCGACTTGATCTGGGTAAGGTGAGGGCGACGATAAAGGCAACGTCTTGTCCGGCCCTGAGACGAGTGTCCTCTTTGCTTCGTGACCAGTGACCGTAGAAATGCGCCAAGTGTGCCTGGCAGATAATGCAGCGGCTGGCTTGTGCTGAGTGGGCACGAGCGTTGACGCTCAAGCCAGCCTGGGCAGCCTGCAGCCAGGAGGCCAGGATGGGGGTGGGTTATGGGCCCAGGAGCAGGTGCACTCTTGCAGGCTGACCCCTGCTTGATTCTGTTTCATGTCTACAGGGAAAATACACGTACATTACACACGTTGTCCACAAAAAAAAAGGGATGCAGCAGGAGCAGGGGCATAGAAACTAGACATAACTCTTAAGTTACTGCGTAATATACTGTTCTCTACTGTATAGATTTGTGCTGTCTTGAATGATTGCCTCGTACACCTCCCTCCTTGCCAATGCTCGAATGGCCGCCCATTATGACAAGAACTTACTGCTAAACGATGAGAGCAGGTCAAGAGTCTCAGGGCACCTTCCCTCCGCATTTGAAGCAGTCGCGACGGAGGGCAGCACTAGGCGACTTAACGTTATCGGCGCGGGTCCGTCCTCCTCTATCCTCTCTCCTCTCTTTTGCGACCGTCTTTGTTAGTGTAGACCTGGAGACGACGACTTCCGCCAGGCCAACGCCTTGCCTTACCTTACCTTAGTCTAGGTAGTTATTCGTAGGTAGAGTTAGTACGGCACTGGCATTGGCACTGGCACTTGCCAGAAATATTTCCCACAATTCCATTTATCCTCGAGAGCCCACTACCGGTACTCCAACCACCTCCTCCCCCCGTCATCCATTATCATCATCATCATCCACTCGAATGAAACCACAGCTCACTGGCTGTCAGACCAGACGAATGACCAGGCCGCTGTGGGTGTGAAAGTGCACGGCGCAAGAGGCAGCGAAAAGAGGCGTTGGTCATTGTTTCACCCTTGTCACTCCTTTTCCCACTATTTTCCAGCTTCGCTATTCATAGCCCCCGGCTCCCCTCTCCCGGCCTCTTCATTGTCTTGTCTTAGGGGCACTCCATTACAGTAGTCTACAACCCAGGAGACCACTCTCTTTCTGGGAATTTCTGGCCCCGTCCCGGCCACCGACCAAGTCGCTCATTCCAAGCCCTTGTCCTCCGCTGTAGAAAACAACGTCCGAGAGCAAAGCGCGTTCTCAAAGGAAGAACCACAGAGACGAATTATCCCAGGCTCTGGCACGACTGAGCCGGGTCCCCCATCTCGCGACGGCTGCGGCACATAGCGTTGGATTCGGGATCTCCCAAGAACCAACCTTCCTTTGGATACCCCGGCCCTCATTTCGTAGGGGCTATTCGTTTCATGATACACCTGCTACCGGGCTCTCCTCTCTCTTCAATTCAATTCATCTGGGGGATAAATCCACAAGAGTCATTGTGACTTCGGGGGGGTTTATGCCCGCCTTGCTCCATTCACCATGACGAGACCTGAAATTATTCGCGCTGGTAGGTGCTCCAAGCCTCTCGCCTCCTGTGGCTGGGCGAAACCACTTTTTTCTTTTACCTTTGGCTTTGTGCTCTTGAGTTGAGTCCTTGTGCTGACCTAGTCGACCTGGACTGTACAGACTCGATTGATCTTCAAGATCGCGATGCGCCGTCGGCTCAAGACCATAACCGCCTAAATCCACCCTCCTCCAAACCGCCGGCGAGCGGCTCCTCCCTCGCTCCGCATCAAGCTGAGACACTTCGCGAAGTTGCCGCAGAGACGGCTGAGGAAAATCTTCGTAGCCCGCGCGTTTCGTGGGCAAACGGCGACATTGGCGATCTGCAGCAATACGCCGAAGACTTGGCCGCCGGCGTCGCCGACTCCCTAAACGGCCAGGCCCAGAATCAGAACGGCAGGAACAATAAGATGGCGGCCGATCGCCAGCAGCAGCAGGATGCTCTGGCCATTGCCCAGAACGGAGGTCTGTCGGGCAACGACGCCGCCTCGGACGACGGAGACCTGGACGCGGACGATGCCGACGACGGCATGGATGACGATATGATGGACAAGATTTCGAGCTCACCCTCGATAGAAGATGGTGGGTACACCTCTGATCTTCCACAGACTTGGCCACGCCGGGTCGACTCTCTTCACCCCTCGGCGTCGCCGTGTAGTTCTCCGACGTCAGCAAAATTCACCGAGGCGAGGTCATCTTCTCCATACCTCGACCTCCCTGAACACTTGCCCCTCCCCTTATCAACCCTGCAAATAAGTAGCGGGTTCGTTGAGTCTCCTAGTCGTCGTCGTCATCATCATCATCATCATCTCAAGGGTGAGTTTAACAGACAGTACCGAACCGATCGAGACGAAAATGTCTCTACGAGGACCAATCTCGAAAAAGCGGACCATGATGGCACAGATGAAGGATAGCAACCTCCAGGCCTATTGGAAAGATGTGCAATGGATGAGTTGGTGGACGAACTGGAAGACATGGGGTTGCGCCACGACTTATTGATGGATGGGTCCGTAACGAGCGAGGAAGTGTTTGACGACATCCAAACCCTTGAGCAGGAAGGATTACTCGTTCCTTACGAAGCGTCCAAAGATGATGATGATGATGACTTCTCTGAAGAGACTATTGATGCCAAATTCATAGATTCCGGATGGGGAGGCGAATGCTTACATGACACAGAGGACATTGATTTCGAGTTCGTCTACGCCCTCCACACATTCGTCGCCACCGTTGAAGGCCAAGCAAATGCCACTAAGGGTGATACTATGGTCTTGCTCGACGATAGCAATAGCTATTGGTGGCTCGTCCGTGTAGTAAAAGACAGCAGTATTGGTATGTATTCGACACCCATGCTAACGCTTGCGATCTAACATCTGTCTTTTAAGGTTATCTTCCGGCGGAGCATATCGAGACGCCCACCGAGAGGTTAGCACGCCTGAACAAGCACAGAAACATTGATGTAAGTACACATTTCATTGTCACGCCTTTTCAATTCTCTGACATATTTAGCTCTCGGCGACTATGCTAGGTGACCAAGCAGAAAAGTCAAAGAACCCAATTAAGTCGGCAATGCGTAGGAGGAAAGCCAAGACAGTGACATTCGCAGCCCCCACCTACGTTGACTACTCAGATATAGACTATGACACTTCAGAGGATGAAGATGCTGAAGCAGAATACTTCGCTCAACAGCAGCAATCTCAACAGCAAGCTGCATCGCAGCAAGCAAACGGTGACCAGGACCCGGAGGATGAGTCCGCTAAGGTAGAGCCACTCAAGCCTCGATCGCAACAGAAAGAGGTGAAGATTGTGGAACCGGCAAAGGCAGAGCGTGGCGATGAGCCCGCTGCGGCATTGAAAGCGAACGGGAGGTCGAGCGAAGAGATATTTGAAACCAATGGAGTGGACGGCCCCAAGAAAACCAAGGATGGAACAGTCCGAGATTCATTCTTTAAGGACGAAACGGTTGAAACTAAGAAGATCACGTTGACTCCTAATTTACTCCGGGACGATGGGGCGCCACGAGCATCAAGTGAATCTAAGGAGATCAAACAGAGGCCAAGTTTTGACAAACTGGAAAAGGATGCTTTGTTAAGCAAAGACGATAAGAAGAAGAAAGAGAAGGACAAGAAGGAGAAAGAGAAAAAATCTGGGTTCCGGAGCCTTTTCTCACGCAAGGACAAGAAAACCAAGGGCGATGACGATGACGACTCTTTTGGAAAGCGGTCGATTGATGTTGCCTCCGAGGGTCTTGAGAAGGAATCAGAAGAGATACAGTTCGCGGAAGATCAGCCGTCACCAGAGAAGGCGGCATCGGGCCCCCAGCGGCAACCGAGTAAACTGCAGAAGCAGCAGCCACGCACGGAGCCTTCGCCAACAAGGAAAGGCAGTGTTGGCGCGAAGGAGGCTGGTAATGGTATGGACCTTGCCGCTTTCCTCTCTGAGAGCAAAGTGAATAACGTTGCAAACGTGCCTCCAGCTTCAATGCGCATTGTCGAAGCCGATGTCCAGGACACTCAAGACATCCGGCCCAAGTCTCGAGATCGCTCTCCAGAAGTCGCCCGCTCGAACTCCCAGAAGGACGAACGATCAGGCATTTCGAAGATCATTCCATCGCGCATGCAGAATGGCGATCCCAGGCCGCAAAAGGTTACGAAAGCGAAAGCTCGCGTGGCTCTCGACGATTCCGATTCCCTCGAAGACATTGCGCCAGAACCAACGAGACAAGCGCCAACGCCTACCCCAGCATCCACTCCCGCTCCTGCCCCGGCTCCAGAAGAAAAGTCGAAGCAGTTGCGACCGACTCTCCCTGGCGCTTATCCAGATAGCTATCTTAGTACCCAGACTACGGACTCTGTCCAGACTGAAAAGGCTGTTAGCGCCCCACAGCCTGAACGGTTGTCCGAATCGCCGGTACAAGTGTCTCCAGTGACCTCGAATATCCCGCCTTCTCTGATGGTGGACACTTCCAGCCAAGAAGAGAATCACTCCTCTCCGAGCTCCACGCCGTCGCCAGAGCTTATCGAGAGGGAAGATGTTGGCGGCAGTCACCGAAACCAGGACTCTATCGCCACTTCTACGTCCGCTACCACTGTATCAACCTGGAATGACACAAGCCTGCGGGCCTTCTTCGACTCTAGCGCCGATATCCGGGATCTGCTTGTCGTTGTGTATGATAAAACAGATGTCGCTCCAGCTGGCCCAGACCATCCTGTCGCTGGAACACTGTTCAAAGAACAGAACGCTAAGTTGGCCGAAATTACTTCAGTAAGTGCCCAGTATGGTGTTCTTTTCGAAGAATGATTTCAACTGACCATTTATCAGCAACTGGACAATATGCTTGGAGATTGGCTTGCCCGCAAACAACGCTTGCGAGGTACCGTCTAAATTCAATCACCAGTATTTCATTTCTACAAACCTCTTTACTACAAGCCATATGGCTCTTCAATTTCCCTGGATTGATTTCCTGGGCTACTTTGTAGAACATTCTCATTCATGTTAACCCTCTACGATGCATCAACGAACGGAGTGCGAGGTCCAACATCTTTTTGTGCGTTTCAAGGAATCTGGCGTCTTGGCGAACGTTAAAAAGGATCATATGGGCTACGAAGGGATCGAAACGAACTTGTTTTAACTATATACCAAAGAACAACCATACACCTGTTTCATTTCTTTTGTGCGGGACACAATCGTCCAGCGAAGGGGGAAGATTTAGAGGATGTTATGGAGGTATGAGGATGTCATGAGAGGAAACGAGGTTCAGAGCGCACAAGATCAGTCGGTAGCTTGGAAGTGTAACAGTAGCTCACGGAAGCCACGAAGTTGAAGTCATGACAATATACCCTTACCTCAAATTCTGACTTGCCTCGTATAAAATGCGTGCTATGTGATAGGCATCAAGCAGTGGGCAACTTTTAGTTCCCCTCGGGATCCTGGATAGTTTCAAGTTAGCGTGGTTATCATCGTTAATTCATCTAATTCAGCATCACATGAAAGGCGGATCATTGTCCAGCTCTACTATCTGTCACTAGAGTATGGCTATAACATGGTCTCCCTCTAGATGTGAATGGAAGCTTTCATAGAGCTAGGTTGAGCGATCGAAATCAGGTTCGTGCCTATTTTAGCTGACGAGTCTTAGGCCTGTTGGGCATGCGGATTTCTTAGACTCGAGCTGGAAATATTCAATTATCAGCAAAGGGTTGAACTAATCGCTCTTTTTTTCAGGTACCTATATACCTTTACTAGGGATTCGAATATTTATAATAGCTTGATGGGAGACATTAAGAGCAAACCACCTGTTTAGGGTGCTCGTAACTTTGCCTACGCAAAAAGGGATGGGACCCGCACGCAACGGCACAGCAATGGCACTTGAACCAGTGCCATGGTCCAGTAGGATCCAAATGGGTTCCGGACTAACCTAGGTGCCGTCATAGATGCTAAAGAGAGAAGGATTGGAGATCATTATAAATCAAACTCATAAGAGCAGATTTTTCGTCAATATCTTTGAGTATTCGTCTTGTCAAGCTATGTCATTCGTCTCGAAGATTGTGACTGCAGCGGGCTACGGCCTGCTCGCATCCCTATCGGCCCGGTTTCTGCAGTTCTTATACATCCACCTGCGGCCGTCTTCTATTTCCAAATACGGCAAGAAGCATCGTCTGTATAAGCCGAGCTCACGCACATGGGCCTTGGTGACCGGAGCTTCGGACGGCTTGGGCGTTGCCTGGGCCCACGAACTATCAAAGTCGGGATTCAACGTCATAATCCACGGACGCAATCCGGCCAAACTTAATAAATTGAAGGCCGAAATCGAAGAGAAGCACCACGTCCAAGTGAGGACCTTGGTTATTGACTCCGGCCGGGAGCCCGTGGCATTTGACGAGGCCAGCTATGCTGCCTTCAACAAAGCCGTCCAGGATGCGACGGCCGACGTGCCGCTGACGGTCCTTATTAACAACATTGGAATCATCGGCAACTGGTACGCGATGGCGGACACGCCCGCAGACGTGGTCGACGACAGCATCAACATCAACGTGCGCTTCTCGATGCAGCTCACTCGTGCACTGCTGCCCACGCTCACGCGGAACGCGCCCGCGCTCATCATCAACGTGTCGAGCCAGAGCGACGCCTCGCCCGTGGCGTACGCGACGCTGTACACCGGGGCAAAGGGCTGGGGCCAGGCGTTCCACAGGTCGCTCAGGTACGAGATGCGCGACACGCGCCAGGACGTCGAGGTGCTCACCGTGGTGTACGGGTTCATTGCGACCACAAGCACCGGGCGCACCGACAAGGATGCTCAGTTCGGGGTCGCAACGCCGTCAGTCGCCGCGAGGGCCGCGCTGAACAAGGTCGGGTGCGGATACAGCATCGTGACGCCGTTGTGGCAGCATCATGTACAGCAGTGGCTGGTCGGTTTGTTCCCCATTGGTGTGAGTGAGAGCATTGTTGCCAATGTTATGCTGGAGCAGAAGGAGAAGATGGTAGCTCTCGCGAAGAGTAAATAGGCTCGACTAGCACCACTTTCGGTGCCTGAGCTTCATGACATGGCAATGAGGGTGGAAGAAGAGAATCAGAAGAAGTTGAGACCATCATGTCTTTGTATGCGAAGTTGAGGAAACTAGCCAGTCACAACGCTCTCTGCTTACAGCAGCCATTTCGATTGGCTCTGTCACAAAGAGACGGCTTATACCCAGGTAGACGAGCTTACTTCTCTCTCTGGTCTGGTTGTCAAGGATGATTCCCGACGCTGTTCCAATTTCGAGCGGCAATACAATACTGGATCTAACAACAAGAGTCGTTCTACGGATTTTCGAGGTTGAGATCTAACATTGGCTTCTTCGCTATGTGATACGATACTAGAGAGCAATTTTGACGGGCTTAACTCTTACGGGTGTTGAGTAATCCGAATACCAACTGCCACGCAGCATTGACCTGTGTCACATCATGCGCCGCAATTGCTTCAAGATCGAGTCTCTGAGGACTTGTGCTGCTAAAAGTACCGAGTGAATCTCTGGAACCTAATCTTATTGGATTGTGGGGTGGGTTTGATTGCATACTTTATATGGCCATGAACAGCTGATTAGGTGATTCTTCCTGCTGACAACACACTGTCAATCCCAGTCAAGAGGCTGAAACTACCAACCGTATTAAGCCCGGCCAATATGCGCCATGTCCTCCAATCCTATCATGTTGAGTAAACAGAAAATAATTCCAACTACGAGCAAGGGTTTCTTGAGCCGCCCGGCCGAGACACTAAGTCCGTAGTATGTGATGTCGGATCTATCCAACCGCTACCGGGATCAATCTAGGTGATGGACCCGGGAGTTCAAGCTGGGCGAGATTCTTGAACGGACGGCCTCACGCGAGTAGACAAGAACATACCCGGGTAATTACTACCAGCCCATGAGCGAAGAGGAGATCAAGATTCTCTACAAATCGAGTCATGAAATGAGGAGTCTGATCAGGCACAACGGGCCGTGCTCTTCTGAAGTGAGAGTCTTGCTGCCGAGCGCGGGGTTTACACAAGAGTATTCACATGGCTAACGCGACCTGAATTCGGCTTCGGACACATGGTGAAACGGATGATAACTCCGGTCAGCTGTATCGGAACCCTTGCTGTTTCCGTTGCTGTTGGTTTCATGGTGTTCATTGAATGTGATGAGTCCAGACGAGGCAGAAGCTCCGTCTCACTCCTGCACGGATCCGTAGAGCTGCTACATTGCAAGATTAGTGATCTGGGCTGGGGTGGAGGAACGCGGGATCGCTATTTTAGCTACCGGCAGCGGACCGTAGGCACCTTGAATAGGACATCGGGCTGAAATGGACGCCTGTAATTGGGGGATCTGCATAGGGCTGGTAGGGGCATAATTAGCCCCTCGAACAGCGCGCATTAGCGTCAGATCCCCCGACTATTCCCTCTGTGTCCGTATGGACGCCCCTCTGTGGCTGCATCATGTTGGCAAAACGGTCGTCTCTGAGTTCTGTCTAGCAAGGTACAGTAGGTTTGAAGTTCCTTCACCGCGGAGTTGTGCTTTGACTGCAGACAGATCAGAATCAAATCTCGACTTTGCTGTGGGGTGGCATTACAGATTGAAACAGGAATTGCAAGACTTACTGACCTGGGTGCTATATCCTCTGCTCTGCATGTCATATTCATGTTCCGTGGGGCTGAGCGGCTGGTTCAATCGGCTGCGAGCCACGAAGCATCTGGCCCAGTCATCTTGCGCCGAGGACGAAGGAATGCATCATGTACAACGTCGCTAGGGAGGGATCTGCCGCAGCTCCTTCAACGCACCCAAATCAGGCGTGGCTATGGAGGAAATGAGGAATTGTCTGTTCAACCCGGCCGCGATGGTTCATTGTCTTTCATGTGCATGTGCTTTGAGGAAGGTTTCAATGTTGTGGCTCGGAAAAGTATATAGAGGTCCTGCTCCTCGAGACTGGGAGAGCACAACAGTTCATCTCATCATTCACAGCTTTCAATCTCTCATAGAAACTACAAAAGACTCTTCAAACCTAACTCCTCGATCCCTTCTCCTCAAGCACTTGCTCTATCCTTCAAGGACAATAACAACTCCTCCAACCTATCAAAATGGCCTCTCTATTCGACCTCACCCGTTCCACCCTCTCCTTCTACTCTGTTCGTTCCTGACGCCTATTTTACCTTCAACAAGACCCAACAGCTAATAATTATATAGGTTCCTGCTGCCTTCATCCTACAATTCCTTCCCAATGCCTGGGCTATGGTCGCCGCTGGCCGCAACTACGATCTCTGCTATCCCAGGAGGATGGAGGAGACCTGCAACAAGGATCAGTCCCTGGACAAGGCTGTGCGCTTCTCCTAAAAGCAACCTTTTTTTTCCTTCCATATGTCTTGAACTAACACTATCCAAAGTCTCTTACCCGCATTCTCCGCGCCAAAGCCGCTGCGAACAACGGTCTCGAGTCCATCGGCTTCTACGCCGGCGGTATCGCCGCCGCCAACGCCGCCGGTGTCCCGGCCGAGACCATCAACTCTCTCGCCATCGCTTATATCGGTCTCCGCATTGTCTACAACTTCATCTACATCATCCTCCAGGCAAACCGCAACTTCGCCCCCCTCCGGACGCTTACCTGGATGACCAGCATCGGCGTCATCTCCAGCCTGTACATCAAGGCCGGTAATCTCATTGCCGCTGCTTAAAGTCTTGTACACATACAGGGTTTTCACAGAGAACTAGAAAGGCGCTGCCGGTGTTCTCATCCTTCTTGAGCGGTTTTCTGGCGTCTGCTTCGCAAATTGCACAGTCTGGGTTCATTGAAGATATATTGTTCTTGGGTGCTTGCAGTTATATCTCCCTCATCTGCTATTTGTTAAAACCGGGTTGACGTGGAGTTGCTTCCTGAGAAAGTATCCGTACCTCATCTTCTCCAAATAAACACCTAATTCCGCTTACTCTGCGTGGTTTTAATGTGCTTGTGTAATTTGATAAAATATGTGTCTCAACAGATTTCTGAACTGATAGGTATTTTATGTCACGGGAAAATCTATGCTGTCCGGCAATATCGTCTGGAGGACAATCTTTGAGCGGACCAGGTAAGTCCTGCAATTCTCACTTCTATGCTTGCTAAACACTCGCTATGTACAAAGCATGCCGCTAACTAAGATCTATTATGTGTCGAGATTCCATCCTCCTTTGCGTAGTTCAGAGGCACCAGTGATTTATGGCCTGCATTGCATTCTGCGTACGTGTCATAATCTTTCGACTAGGAGCCTATTTATGTCTATTTAGGACCCCCAATAGCCGTCGTGATTGAACCGCTCTCGATATAGACCCCCGAGAAGTAGAAATCCTCAGTTGTATCGCTGTAACCGGATCGCGGTAGTTCCAAAACGCCCAGATGCCAGTCGGCGCCGTTCGAAGATGTCGAGCCGGAAACAGGGGCTACCACTTGCGTGAGAGGATCGCCGCCTGTTGAGTGCCAGAAGCCAATCTTGTTGGCAGAGAAGTCCTATTGCTAGTCAGCCCCTTCTGCTTCTCCGCATACCAATATCCAAACAAAGTCTCGGGCTCACTATCTCATAGGCAACGTTGTGCCAGACACCCGGAGTCCACTCCGTCTTCCAATAGCTCTTCTGGCTGACCATCCACTGCAGATTGGGATTGCTCGTGCCAGACTCGCCGCTGATCCAGCCATACTTCAGCTCGGTGAAATGGCTCTCGAAAAAATTGATCTGGTGCTCGCGGTTGACGCTCGGCGCGTTCTTGTCGCTGCGCATGAGGCTGAAATGGTAGTACACCTTGCCCTTGTTGATGCCCGCCGTCGTCTGGGGGATCAGCTCGGTTCGCCGCATGTTCTGACCGTTCCAGAACGCCGTGCTATCGAGAGTGAACTTGGCCCCCTGCTTGCTGACCGTGTCGTTGGGGTTCTTGTAGTCCGGCGAGAGGTTGACGTACTTCTCCACCGTGCCGGAGCCGTGGATGTAGTACTGGTAAGGTCCGACCTGATTACTCCATGACCACTTGTTGAGGTCCGAGGACGACGAGAAGTCGTTGAAGCGCCCGTCCCAGATGACGGCTGCGTTGCCGAGGGCGGCTAGGCTGGCGATGAGCGCCTTGGTGAGCTGCATGATGGGCAGTTCTGACGGACGAGATCGCAAAATGGGGAAATTTGATCAAGACACCGACGATCGAGGGAGAGATGCGAGAGACGCAATATCTTGGGATCTTTGGTTTATATATGATTACAAGATCGGAGCTGGACCCCTGCTAGGCCCTTCTGATCACCATATCCGGGGAATGAGAGTGCCCTTGTCCACCATGTGAGCCATCCATATATTGGACAATGGCAGGTTGCAATCTTTGTCGCCATTCCTGCAACCCGGACCTCAGCAATATGAAAGGGGCATTCCGGACCGCTGCTAAGACGAATACACAATGATATGGCGTAAAGATGCGCGGAGAGGAGGTTCCGCTCCCCTGCCAATCCATAAAATATCATGGTATAGATTAATCGCGGCATCGCTCTAAACTTTAGCCTATACGATATTAAGGTCGAACTCGGCAGTGTGAGATTGAAGAGTCGCGCGGGTATTAACCTTAACTAATTACTAAACCAACCCTTTAAAGAGGATGCCTCTCATTGGAAAATGAGGCTACTATGGTAGGAGGTCAAAAGTTGGGCGTACTTGTCAGGTGTTCTATTCACGATTGTTATAGTCACATCGAATCACTTACATGTTGCTCAAGATTGGGGCAACTATCTGATCGATTGCCAGGTTTATAGGAATAGAGCGTGGCTAACGCTGGATCAGGCTGACTTGAGTTGAACACTAGTCGTCGTAGGCTTCGAATCTCTGCAATAAGAATGGTTGCTGGTCGAAACAGGAAATCATCACAGCTGGAAAGCTGTCAAACACCATAAGTCTGCAGCTTAATTCATGTCTAATCTTCCTTTGCCATCGAAGGGCCTGAGCAAATGGTCAGAGGAACATATGGATCTAGGAGAAGAATAAGACAGTCTAAAAGCAAGTTGAATAACCACAGTTTCTTCCCATTCAACCAACTCCTATAACGCATGTGCTGCGGAAACACTTCCCACCAAGTGACTGAAAGCCATTCAACTTTCCAATTGCACGATCCAGAAAATTGCAAACTATTTCCCTCCAGGTGGCGATGGCTTAGTATTCCGCGCCACCGAAGCTCTTGTTTCTCGTCAAGGTTGCCCGCTCCAAACTAGCTCTAGGCAGGTTCTCCACACTGCGAGTCCTGCTGTGAGCGGTGCTAGGTCGACTTGGAACGCCGCCAGCGTCAGCCTCCTCTACAATAACCAGTGCGTCTGCCGGAGAGGTGGGATCATCTTTCATTAAGTGCACAAAGAACGCCGCAACAAGGACGGTGATGCCACCAAGGGCAAGGACTATGGCAATTGAATGATCGCCCGGTACACCTCGTGGTTTCTGAAAGATCCTGAAGATGATGCTCGACGCAAATGTAGCAATGATTTGTGGAGCTGCAATTGCCATGTTGTGAATGCCAAGAATCACGCCAGCTTGATCCGACTCCTCCTCCTCATCAACGACCTTGCGATCCCGGTCCGAAGTGTACCCGTCAGGGGACCCAGAGTGGTCTCGGTGAGGAGAAAACATCCGCTGCTGCCTCTGCGCACGAATCGTAGCATCTCGTCGACTGATTTCCGCACTGATGATTGCCCAAGGAGCCCAGAGCGTCAGCGCCCAGGTAATACCGACCAGTCCAATGAGGGCGGTAGCAGCTGGAACAGTGCGAACGAAAACGGTGCAGAACATGCTGATCGTGAACAGGATCTGGGAGAACATCCACGCACGTCGGAGTGTGAAGCCGGGAATGATGAGATAGTCCAACCAGGACTTCGTGTCTGAGCCGAAGCTTCGGATTGACTCCGCAGGGCCCTCTCCGGGAGCGTCCGTGGCGAGCACCGGCTGGCTATCGTACGTAGGGGCGATAAAGAAAGGCAGAAGCACATTGGTCGCCAGGCTAGTGATGGAGAAGATGAGTAGTGCAAAGGTACCGACTTGAGTTGCCTTTTCATACAGTTTGTCCAATTCCTTCGGTGTCATATTCGGGTTCTTCTCCAAGAATGGCTCGGCGTAGATCTCACCAATGTAGGAGGAGGTGTAGAACAGCATGGGGAAGAAGCCGATCCAGGCGCAGAACTGAACAATGCACACTTTCTTGATCTGCGGTGGTAGTCTCTTGATGGATGTAAAGATTGTGGAGAAGAATGAGATCACCCCAGGTCGCTCGCTCTTAGCGGGAGGCCCTTCGAGGCGTGGGTCGCGCTCCTTGACAAAGACGCAGCTGATGATGACCGTCGCACCCAGAGCAATACTGGCAATGGCACAGAGATCTTTGAACTGCGTGTTTCCGAGCCACCAGGTTATTTCTGGAAGATTCACGTATCCGGCAACATAGCCAACAATGTTACCGACGCCAGTGATTCTACTAGCCATTGCATTGGCGGACTCTTGCTGATGTGCTGGTGCACAATCCACGATGAAGGCACGGATCGCAGCTTGGACTAAAAAAGAGTTAGCACAGGATACTTGACCGATTGTGAGGATGTAGGCCGAAGACTAACCTGTATTGATGGCGAAATCCAGTATGTAAACCCAGATAACGGCTACCACGATGATGGACACCTTTACACCATTGGATTCAAGATCAGCGCCAAAGAGACCCAAGAAACCACCGACGATTTCCTTGGTCCAGGCAAGAATCATGAGAGAGCAGATTGTGGCAGCCGCTCCGCCAAGCATGAATGGCTTCCTCTTGCCCCATGAGATCCTGCATTTGTCGCTCAACATGCCGACGTACGGCTGGACCAGCGTTCCCGAGAGAGGGCCAGCAATCCAAACGAGAGCCATCAGGGACTTGCTCAATCCCAGGGATAATAGGTACGGCGAGCCATTTGACAACTCGACCGACCATGCAATTTGTAGACCTCCAATGCTGATTGTCAACAGTATCAGGTACCAGACGCTCTTTGTCTGCTGAAACTCCTCCCATTCGTCCTCGATGGCCTGATCGTCGAGAAAACCATCGTCCTCATTTTCGTTGGAGGCAGGGGAGAGCAAGGGGGATTGCTCGCTGACGTCGTCGTTGCGGGCGTGGTCTATCGAGCTGATGCGCGGGGTGTTGCCTGCGAGGGCTGGAGGTCGCTTGCCTTTTGCGTTGGATCGGTCGCCCTCGACCGAGGAACGGCCAGTGACTGTAGAACCGCCTAATGACGACGTCATGCGTAGCTTCACTGATCGCAGCCGAGCTGTGCAGATGGAGCGGTAGAGTTGGTGATGGTTCTACCGCCGTTGGGAATCGCTGAAGAGGGAGGGAGGGTGGATGATGAGATGTTGACAAGCGGCGGATGTCGGAGGTGTTCTGACGTAGGTTTGGAACTAAGGATGCTGCACGAACCAACCAGGGTGGACGGCTAGCTATCGTGAGATCGTCGCAACAAGTTTAGATGATGTCCGTCCACCAAAACCGTGGGCTCACAAACGAAGACAATTGATTAGGGAACAAACTACGAAATATAACACGTTGGAATTATGTTTCGGGTTGCCTTGTGGAGTTTAAACAGCCCAAAGACAAGTCAGAGACCTGAGGCGTCACGCGGTCAAGTAACAGACTGCCACGAGACGGAGACCCCTTCTATTCGTGTTGGGGACCGCGAATGTTAAGCCCCAGCTTTGCGTCATGCAGAACGCTTCAAGCGAGGCTGGCGCAATAAAAGGGAATAGCACGCTGCCCTTGCAGGCTATCAGGATACGGTCTGCTCCTGGCATACTTTAATTGTTCAATACAGTCAACTCAGTTCAGCTTAGGGTCCAGACGAGACTGAGGAATGACCAGGCAAGCGCAGGAAAGAAACATTCAGGTTTCCCCAATTGGGCTATGTCGTAGGCAGGAGTCACCCCTCGCAGCGAATGGGGTTGCCCCGCGATCACCGGATATGCACCATCAGTCCATCACAGGGGCTGAATAAGTCGGGTGAGATGCATCGGCAGCCACTTGTATGAACTCCGAGCGCGGGGAAGCCCAGGCCCAACGGAACCTGACTTGCTGATGCAATTGAGGAGGAGGGTCTGGATCTTCCCACTGCAGCGAGAAAAACAGATGGCCATGTCAGGTCAGACCCGGGGAACCGGGGCGGGGGACTGTACAAGTGAAGTGTCCACGGCGTCCATAGTCTCTGGCTGGCGGTAAAAGGTAAGTCTCGACGATCTGGGACTGCCAGTTGCGAAACGTGATTCGGCCGCTTTGATAACCGTATCTTGTCGCATGAAAAGCACATGCAGAGACATGATATTGTTAAGCCGACTCATGTTCTCCGGCAGAATCTGACATCTTGTGTTCGTGCTCTCATCGTTGAGACCACCCTCGGGCAACTCCCCTCACACCCATTGTAATGCTAGCAAATAAAGAAGTATTCAGCTGAAACTGAAATGGGTAGAACACGAGCACCGTGTACATTGGTGTTCGAGGAATAGAAACACAAGTGAGACGTGTACCACGATGATAGCTGTGACATTTTGACAGGAAGAGCGCTTATTGCCAATCGGCGCGAATAAGCTGACCCAGCACCCACCCAAGCAGTAAGTCGGCCGCCATTGAATAGCTGGATTTGTGAAGGTACACCACAACAGGTCACAAGCCACATCACGATGTTTGATATGACTTGTCTCTTTTCGCTCTCTTCATGACTTCGAAACACCATCAGGCCGTGAGTACCCGCTGAAAGGACAACTGGTCTCGTGTCCAGGTCGAACTCCATAGATGTCCTCTTACTACTGAAGTTTATGGAAGAGTGTGTACCTCATTTAGACACCAAGGGACAATGACATTGAGTATAGAAATGCTACAGAGTAATAGCGGAGGTAACTATGTGGGCGGTCAAGGTTTAAACAATCCCGTCATGTATTCTCCTCCCACCGTTCATATAGACACTTCAACTTGACTACATCATAAATCCACTGGCATCACTTGGCAGCACATCGTACTAAGGAGGCAGTAATAAACAAACCTTTCGTTCTATTTTCTACCCCTCCACCAGGGTAATAAATGTTAGTTCGGCAAGGATATCACTACCTCCTCAACAAGGGGTTACTGCCTTTATAGAAAATTGATAGATCTATAGTAATAAACAGAATATTCGAGAGTTTGATAGCATTATGACTCTCAATATTGAGTATCTTCATCCTTTGTTGATGGAAAGCTGTACTACAGAGCATAGAAGCACACCACACCATCCAGCTGGCGAATCACCTTAGCCCATTCCGGGGTGTGGCGCAGTGAAAGGGATTGGAAGCTCCACCTGCATTGGATGCCTTGCGCTACGGCGCCCGGCTAGGCAAAAGCCGTTGGTTGGCACGGCCCTAGTCCGGAAGGGCAACCTGGCGACATTGACTGTCGTAATGCTCTGTCTGTAAGTGCGACAACGATGATAGCATCGTAAACGCATTCATTGCACTTCCTCGCACGCAGTCTCCCCGTTCTCCATCTTGCGCGACGCAGCCCCGGTGTGATTGATGTGTTCTCGACCTCATACTCGTCGCTCTTCTTCGAGCAGTCGCACTGTCATCCACCACAGTCCAGGCTCCCCGCCGTCTTCGAGTTCGAAACCACGATAAAGCATCCCCCCGGCCGTCGCAACCATGCTGGCTGAGGTTGCCAACTCCGCGTTGGAGCTTGCCCGTATGATCTACCTCTATATAAACTCTGTCCGAGATAGCATTGCTGATATCTGATGAACGAATAGGCCGGGCTACAGACGATGGTGACCCAGAGGGTATCGCGAGCTAAATCCCCGAAACTAGTCCAATGGCCGTGTCGCTAACCCATCCGCAACAGGCGCCGACTCCTCAAAGAAGGAGATCTATGCATCATGGGCACTTTTCATACTCATCACGCTCCTAATTGCGGCATTCTTCACGAGCTACTTCCTGCAGCAAAGAAAAGTCACGGCAGTCCACGAAACGGTCATTTCTATCTTTGCTGGTTAGTCCCCAACCAATACCCCCAAGAATCATCACTCGAATTGAGAGCTTACTTTTCATGACAGGAATGACCGTTGGCCTTATTCTCAGAGTAACAGCAGGTGAATCTATCCGAGACCTCGTCAGTTTCGACTACCAGATCTTCTTCAACCTCCTCCTTCCTCCGATTATCCTGTCCTCGGGGTACGAACTACACCAGGGCAACTTCTTCCGAAACATCGGGACCATTCTGACATTTGCCTTCGCTGGCACCTTTTTGTCTGCGCTCGTCATCGGAGTGATTCTATGGCTGTACACACGAGTCCCTCTTGAGGGTTTGGATATGGGCTGGATTGATGCCATTTCCGTCGGTGCAACGTTGTCTGCCACTGATCCGGTCACCATTCTGGCCATCTTCAACGCATACAAGGTGGACCCTAAGCTCTACACGATCATCTTCGGCGAATCCATTCTCAACGATGCTATTGCCATTGTCATTTTCGAATCCGCCCAGAAGGCCAAGAGCGGCTCTGCAGACACGCCAGGAATTCTCAGTCTCATCTGGGGTATTTGGATATTCTTGCGCGACTTCTTTGGCAGCTTGGGCATTGGTGCTGCTGTTGGAATCCTAGCAGCCCTGGGCTTGAAATACACCTATGTCCGAAGATATCCCAAGATTGAGAGCTGTGTGATTGTCCTGATTGCCTATGCTACATATTTCTTTTCTCAGGCAATTCATATGTCAGGTAAGGAATGCCACACATCGATTCCAAACACCTATGGCTTACAAATTGTACAGGCATCGTCTCTCTGCTGTTCTGTGGAATCACTCTCAAGCATTATGCATACTTCAACATGTCACGACGGACGCAGCTTACTACGAAGTATCTCTTCCAGGTACTTGCGCAGTTGTCGGAAAATTTTATCTTCATCTACCTAGGTCTTTCTCTTTTCACTGGAGAAGATCTACAGTATCAGCCTCTCTTGATCATTGTTACGGTCATGGCTGTCTGTGCTGCAAGATGGGTTGCTGTCTTCCCACTTTCAAGAGCTATCAACTGGTTTATCCGGTACCGAGCCAAGCGCCGGGGCATTCATGATCAGCCGGATGAGCTACCGTACAACTACCAAGCCATGCTCTTTTGGGCCGGACTTCGAGGCGCTGTCGGTGTTGCTCTGGCAGCTTTGATTACCGGCAAGGATGCCTACGCCTTGAAAGCAACGGTTTTGGTTGTCGTGGTGTTGACTGTCATTATTTTTGGCGGTACTACAGCACGCATGCTGGAGATTCTAAACATACGAACGGGCGTTGTCGATGAAATCGACTCTGATGACGAATTCGACATCGAGGCCATTGGTGGCGGCAGCTACTATAAGCGAGCTGGAACAGGCATTGGCTACACGCCACGGCGCGGTTCGGTGATGCCCCTGGATGGCCTCAATGGCAAGCGTACTGATAGTAGCGATCGAGGTGGCTGGGCGTCAGGCCACCGCAGTCCCAATACTTTGGGCCGGCCAGCAAGTCTTAGCCGGAAGGCCACTGCGAGAAGCAACAATGATGAGGAGCGCACTGACTTGCTCGGGGCCAGTGCCACAAACTCTGACCTAGATAGCGACATTGACACTTCAGATCTGCCTCCTCCGGCTCCAAGGCGCAGATCGAGCCCCATGCCCCCATTAGCAACAAGCAGCACTGCTGAAAATGGCCACGGCTTCAACGGGCGTGATAGATCATCGACGCTTGAAGGAGGTGGAACCGCAACTCCACCTACCATAACAGCCACATCTGCTTTCCGGCAGCTCTTCACCAGCGAAGACCCCTCAGCTCTCTTCAGGCAGCTTGATGAAGACTATATCAAGCCGAAACTACTATTAGATGACGGCCGTGGTCGAGGGAATGGTGGTGGGTCAAGTTAGGGTTGATCCATTGTGCATCAAGGGCGTTCAACATCACAGAGTAACTGTGTTTTCATGTACTCTATATTACCAAACGAATCTAAGTCGGAAGCATCTAGATTATGGGGCCGGCTGGCAATTACGGTTAATGTATGCATATGTCTTTTCCAAACCTGTGGCCCTTGCGAGTGCCTTGTTCGCCATCTCTATACGTCTAGGCCCTTTACGCCACGCTTAGCATCTATGGGTTTGCCTTTGCCCATTGTCTAAGCCAGTCCAGGGCCTCGGGATTCGCAACACTGGCGTTAGTCCTCACATTCATGCCAGAAAGTATTTGTTTGACCGCAACCTCAATCCTATCACCGGGTCAGTAAACATGTTACATCAATGGAACATCAAACTCACTTCTTTCCATTGCCGGTCTTTGGCACACCGCCTCCACACTCCTCTACTACGGGCGGCACATGTCTGGGGCTCAACTCCTTCCGGATAACCCCCTTAATCTTATCCCTTAGCCCATCGTCGAACTGCTTCCCGGCACACATTACGACGAACAGACACACCGTCTCGTCGCGGTCCGTCTCCCTTCGTCGCCCAACACAGACCGCATCCTCCACCTCAGCGGCGAAGAAGCGCGTCAAGATATTGTAGATCTCAGCACTGCCGAATCGGACCCCCGACGGCTTGAGCACGCCATCGGACCGGCCGAGCATCACCAGGCCACCCGTCTGGGGATCCATACGCACAAAGTCGCCATGATGCCACAGGCCCGGGAAGCGCTCGAAGTAGGCGGCCCGGTACTTGTCGTCGCCACCCTCCCCGAAGAACGTCAGCGGCTGGCAGGGGAACGGCTTCGTGCAGACCAAGTCGCCGGCGCTGCCCGGCGGCGAGACGGGCTGCGGGCTATCGGGGTCGCTTGCCGAGTCGACGACCGAGATGGCCATCCCGAGCCCGGCACACTGAATCTCGCCGACCCGGACGGGCAAGAGGGGACAGGGGGCGCCGAAGAGGGATATGATATCTGTTCCACCAGTGATGGAAGCCAGGTTGATGTGTTTGGGAAAGGCTGAATAGACGAAGCTGAACGTCGATGGCGGTAGGGGTGAAGCGGTAGAGTAGATTGCCTCGAGGTGGGAGAGATCTAGGTCAGGTTCGTCGATAGGCCGGATGTTGTTTGCTTCTAGGGCAGTCAAGTAGGCTGCAGATGTCCCAAAATGCGTTACCCGGAGGCTTGAGAGGAGTTTCGGCATAGAGAGATAGGAGTGAGGCTTGAATGGAGAACCCGTATAAAGAACGATAGAAGATCCTACTGCTAACGCAGAGTTCGACCAATGACTCATCATCCACGAAACTGTAGAATAGTACAGTAAGCGCGAATTGGATGAGAGCGAGCCATGAAGAAAAAGCTCTTTCTTGTGTTGTATAAGTGTACCAAGGGCGGTGTGAACGATGGCTTTTGGAAGACCGGTAGTACCGCTGGAATAGAGGATATAAAGGGGATGAGATGGCGGATGTTGCTCAAAATTGAGAGGTTTATCAGGAGCAGTCTCCAAGAAGCTCTCATACTCTTCGACCATAACGAATTTGTTTCGAACATCATCGAGTCCCAGGTCAACATTCCGTAAGTTGTTGATGACCACGGCCATCTTCAAGCCGTGTTTCCGGAGCTCCTCTACAATCTCCAATGTCTTGGCTGTACTTGGCCATTCTTTTCCGTTGTATAGCATGCCATTATCGGCGAAGAGAACCTTGGGGCCGATCTGGGTCAGACGATCGAGGACGGCGCTGACACCATTATCGGGCGATATCCCAGTCCATATCGCGCCAACACACGCCGTGGCAAGGACAGCGACGAGCATTTGAACATGGTTCGAGACGAACCCGGCGACAACATCATTTTGCTTCAAGCCGGCAGCTCGCAGACCATTGGCACAGCGCCGAACAGCTTCCCTGGGTTGCGCCCACGTTGTTTCGACGAGATCCTCTTCCCTTTCCGTAACGGTGATCACAGCTATCGCATTTTCATCAACTTGCACGTTTGCTGGAAACAAAAGGTTCTCTGCAAAATTGAGGCGTGCTCCTGAGAAGAAGTCAGGCCTCGGGAACATGGGGCTGTTGGATGGCAGGACCTTTGATCTTTCAGTTACATTTCTCGTGTAGAGGGGTATCCCGTTCTTCTAAGTCACCAACCTCGTCGTATGATTTGGAGGCTCTAATTCCGCAGAAGTGCCAACATTCTTCCCAAAATTCGGCGACATTGTCAACTGACCACCTGTATAGGGTCGGATAGTCACTCAGGCTGAGTCCATACTTTGAGTTGACATGGCGCATGAACCTGGCCATCGGCGTGCTATCTGGATCGGAGTGTCTCCACAGCTCGGCCGGCGCCGGCTGCTCCGAAGCCGCATCGACTACCATGATTTCTGTGTTACCAATTGGTACAAGAAATTGATCTATATTCCAAATACGGATGTGTGCGCAGACAAAATTCTTTGATTGTGAAGCAAGTTCCGGATCGTGTGTTAAGGGGACTGACTGTTGGGGAAGTTAAAAGCGGCCGAGGATCAAAATCGTTAGCCCGAAGAAAGCCGTGGTACTCCTCCGCCGGGGTGTTAAACATTAATTCGGCAAGGGTAGCACTACCTCCTCAACAAGAGGTTGTTACCTTTGTCATAGACCTATGGCAATAAACAGAATATTCGAGAGCTTGATAGTATTACAACTCTCAATATTGAGTAACTTCACCCTTCAATAATTAACGTTGATTACCCTGGCGGAGGCGTACCACCTGCCTCCTGGAGGTGTCCAATACCAGACCGGCGGAACTGGCAACGAACAGTCTTCGCTGATACCCAGTCTTGCCATGAGATATCATCTACAATGCGAGTCTCCAAACACTTGAGTTTCAAAAATGCATAGATACAGAGGATTTCCCTCAAAAAGCGCATTTACCGTATTAGCACCATAGCCAGTTCATTTGAGTCTGTCAGAATTTAGATGCTCCGTTCTGAGCGGATTTCGCTTAAATGTCCGGAAGCTGGAGGAAATGCTGTCTCACAAGACTAGAGGGTTTTTGAGCATCATTTCTTGATTGGATTATCAGCTTACTTGCAAATTCTCGATGGAGGGCTAACCTTTTTAGATAAGAATATTGAATTATTCCAATTGACACGGAGGTCACCTCCGTTGTGTAGGAGCCTTCGTGGCATCTTCACATCTCAATAATAGCAGAAGTTTCATAATAAAAACACTGTATTTTATTTTCGTGAGTCCAATTGTCCTCAATTAAGTGAAAGCGATTCTATTCACAGAAGCGGATAGCTTCCATTCGTTGACCTTCTGCCATTAGGATACATATCTATAGTATCACCTGTGATGAATAAATCTGTCTCTGCAGGTACAACAATGCTTTCTTTCACATTTGCATTGGAATCTGCCTTAGAAGCTACTTGCGTGGGTGGGCTAGGCTTCTTGACGACCTCATAAGCCTTTGAGATTCTTTCTTCCAGACCAGCTTCAAGACCAACTAAGATCCATTAGTTATCTCATACACCAGTTCTGGCCACCAAGGTGAGACTTACATATATTATAGTAGACATATTTACTAATCATAGGAGCCCATATCAGCACAGCAATGAGTTGGCCAAAAGACCAGTTAACATGCGATTCTCCAGCCGAGAAAAGCCTTAGAGTATCTCGCAGGTATTGAAGATTCCGCCCTATTGCAAGCAGCAATAAAACTTGCTTCACGACGAGCCCAAACCAAACGATAGCCACCAAACCTTTCCAGGAGTATTTCAAAGTCCTTTGGCCTTTAATTGTAGCGCTTTGAGACAGGAGTTTTCCTTGTATCCGGCTTTTAAACTGCCAGATGATCTGATCGGCTATGAGCAGGACCATTGTCGGCAGATGATCCAATTTGGTGAGAATTTCGGTACCAAACATGCGATCGCCGAACTGAAAGCTGTTGATCTCAGCGATACAATATTTCAAGGGGCTGACATTATAGCCACAAGCTGGCAGTGGCTCCTGTTGCCAGACCAGGGAAGAATCCTGAACAAATGGAGCAAAGAATGTCACAATCACGCTCAAAATTGTTACAACCATTGTTCCGAGGTGAAGATACCACCAATGATAGTTGGCGTGTTGCAGTCCAGCCTGAACAAGAAGGACAGATGATGTACCAACTACGGCGAGGCTCTGCGCAAGGAGTGAATCCAGCCGCATCTGGGCCCAAGGACCACTGTCCCTAGGTATGCCATCGCTTGTGTACAACATAGTATATGTAGCAACCTGAACTGCAAGGACGAAGAATATCTGTGCTTCCTGAAACTCTGCATATACCGATAGAAAGGCTACGCCTGGTCGTGAGTTGGCAAGTTTTGTTTGGATTGCTCTTGCTCTCTCGATGTGCTCTTGGCGATCTCTTTTGCCATCAATGAATGGATATGGCACGTAAGTAATCAGTCGCATTGGCCATGAGACAAAGATTTTGGCCATAAACCAAAAGACCATGGCTGTGATGCTTTGTATCATGTATGATATGACAACCTGATCAAGAACTTAGCAATGTCGAACTTTGAGTTAAGCATACAAGTGATAAAACAACAATACGATATGCTCAACAAGAAACAGGTTGACAACTTACTCCAGGGCCGGCGATATCACCGTTAGCAACGATGCTCGAGATATTGCAGTAGGAGCCCACGCCGTCCAGTATCACCGGTATAGTTTCGTAAGTTGCAGGGATATGCTGTAAATCCAGGAGCTGAGTGGTACATGCTTCTGCTGGACCCAGTTCACACGAAGTCGCCACACACGTCAAAAAGTCGTCCAATATTCCAGTCCCGTTGAAGTCCGAAAGGTTCCCAAAGCGATAGATTCCATTCGCACTCTCGAGACTCCCCGACGCAAACGTCACATTGGTCGTGTTTTGGACGATCAGCGACAGGCTGGCAAGCCTCAAGCAATTGACTAGGGTGTGACGGTTCTGAAATAACCCGCCTTTGGATGAACAAACTGAAGCACAGTCCGCCTCCGCTGTAGTATTCTGGCATCCGTCGACCATCAACCTGAAGTATCCGTTGTACGATGCTTCGTATCCCATGGATATTGAATCAGAAAACCACGACCACCCAACTTCATCGTCATAAGAAAACACGTCAACTTCGAAATCGATAGACATGTCTACTTATTGACTCTGCCTTTTGTCAATATCGCAGTTATCTCAGCGTATTTTTGGACCGTCCCGATTATAGTTTCTAGGATAATACAAAGAACATAGCGTGTAGGTAGACCTTCGGCTGTAGATATTTGACTGAGTTCTCCACCAGATAGGCGCGAATGACATACCGATTAGAGTACTCTTAAGACCGATATCATATTTGCTCCGTTCGCAGGTTACCCACCGTAGTCTAAACTATCGACCAAAAAAAACTACCTAAAATGTCTTGTGTGCGAGCTCAAGTCAACCCTTCGACTTTACCTTGCGTTCTCTCTTTCTAGAAGTGTTCCCAAAGAACAGCTGCTGTCATGACATGTCGTTCAGGGAAGTCTCGAAGGAAATGCCTCGCTGAACTTCAAGGTGACCTAATACCAGATGTGATGTAGCTAAATCCAGCACGGGAACCAACATTCAACCAGCTCCCGTCCCCTTGCTTTCCTGTCACTGCTCAGATTGGTTCGCTTATGAAAGGATGCGCAACTCCCCTGCCCATGCATGCGGCAGTGCAATTTGGAGACACAATACGTAGGAAAGTGTAAATCTTGTTGGTTCAAGGTTGCAATTAGCAATGCTGGTTCACTAGGTGACAAGCTACAATGTACTCCTCCGCCACGGTAATAAACGGTAATTCTTAAAGGGCAGAAATACTCAATTCTGAGAGTCGTAATATATATATATATATATATTAAGCTCTCAGATGTCCTGTTTATTGCTATAAAGAATATGGTGTTGCCCTTGCCAATCTAACATTTATTACCCTGGCGGAGGATTAGGATGCCGAAGCTTGGGTATCCCCAAGACTTTTTGCTCTCCAGAACGACTACAGCACATTCGCTCGACAAGTCATCCTGCCGATGTTGCCCACCTATTACACCATATATAGCACTGACATTGGAGCTAGGCGGAGGATTCGTTAAATGTCATGTGATGATCATGGCAAAAGGATGATTGCCAAAGATTTGCAACTCCTGGCACCTTGGTACCGTTGAAGATTGGCGTTCCTAGCATGAACGAGTTCGACCAACAGCGCTGCCTGGACGCTTTCAATATGCTTGCAAAACACGCTTCAAAGCCAGTACAATTTCCGGGAATGAGAACCGCAGTCTTGTCATTATCGTTACATTCGTTTCGTCATGGCATTTTCTATGCTCCCACACTGCCTGTCGTACCACCTCCAACCTGAAATCTCCTGACCCAACAATCTTGCCCAATATTAGCCGCCTTCTATCATTTTGTTTAGAATAGCAAGAAGTGACGTTCGGAGATGCAATTAATATTATAACCCTTTCGAAAAGAATGGCGCCGTGTCATCTACAAATTGCGATTTCATTGAGTGACAATCGCCTTGGTGCTTGAATGCTGTAAACGTCATGGATCATCTGGGTTACTATTAGCTATGGCCCCCAACCATCCTAGGTGATGCAATACATACATGTATCTGGTATGATCCAACACCGAATTTGGCCCTAAGCAAGGCGATCAGCTTTGTAGGGTCGACATTGCGACAAGACACATCCTGAAAAGACGAATCAAAATCCGTGTCAAAATGCCGTGCAAATGCAGTCGAGCCTGTCAGCTTGGGTGCTTCCGAGGAACTCTTCACAGCAGACATGGTCTCTCAAGCAAACACCCGTGAATGTTTGCTACAGTTGCCGACGGATAACAGATTTGAGAAACTCAATAAGCTACGAGTTCTTGACAGATACGACACAGCAATGTGTGCGCAACTGCCTTAATAAATAATTCCCTCGTAAGCTCGTTTGCCTAAGCCTCACAACAAAAGACTAACTGGCATCGCGTGAGCCTTGCCTCCTGGGGCTTTATATTGGGGGCCAATAAATCACACCCAGGCGACACCCGGGCGACCACAAGTCTTACACCGAGAAGTGTAAAATGGCCAGAACCAGGCTGGGCCATTTTGTGACCCGTCTCAGAGTCAGATTGGCATTGCCACCCTTGGTTCCCTCTGAGGATGCGGGGGTGTGACTGAAACCTTCAGCCGCAGCTGCACCTCCCATCACATGCATGAGGTTCCGAAGGGGTCGCATAGGCTTATGGAAGGGCGAGGCTGTAGGCGCTTTTGCATTCATGCTACTTTCAATGGATAGATTACGCTCTCCCCCGAGGAATCGCCCTCTGAGGGGTTCCAATTCCCCTTCTTTTGCAAATTGAAGGTTTCTCGGCAATATGGATG